GAAAATTTTGTTTGAGAGTGCTTAAATTCTACAATCAATCTAAAAATTAGATATATTTTGTTATATCTGATTGTAAATCCCTTTCTTTTCTTTTTTTCACACCACCAATAGCCATTATATTATATTTTCATAAATAGAAACAACATTTACTCAGCGTTTTATGACCTCATCTACACTAAAAAAAACAGTAGAGGGAATAATATGGTAGTGGCTCCATATTAAAATGATGGATATTTCCACTTATAAGTAAATGCATCAATCGAAGTGTATAATGAAGTATCACTTTGTCAAGTTCAATTGAAGCACACAAATCGAGCTTAATTTTGAATGGCGATTTAACTTTAATGCGGTTTTAAAAAAGTGTATTAAGTTAATACTGTTAGCTTAACCCTTAAGAGCCCAATGTACCTTCCAAGGGACATTAGAATATTTTCGATAAATTCCACTCCAAGAGCTCATATACAAAAACCAACATTTTTCTGAACTGACATTACCTTAGTAATCATACAGAGATGAAAATCTAATTCTCAAGTGGCTCTTAAGCGAAAGAATGAACCTTTTACGCCTCGTAATTTTTTTAGCACCACTTTTCTTTTCTGAAGTTTTTATTATTCATATAAGCGACGTGCCGCGTTGTTTTTTTTAAGTGATATTGTTAAATATAGTGCTAAGGTATCTGATGAAACCATCTCGTAAATTTTAAACCATTCCACTAACGCAGGACACTATCATAAAGAAAAAATTTCTTCTTTGGGATATTCCGCCTCAAGAAAAAGTCGAAGAAAAGGAATTTTGACTTGAAATTTTCCTCATAAATAGTTGATACGCTATTTAGATTATCCTGAAATTTTCAGCAACAACTGTTGTTTACTCTTGAAGATACGGCATGTTGAATAGAAGTCGGATTTTATGAGGTTTTTGCAAAACGTTGCCGATTCTTTTTCTGCGTCCAATATTTCAACAACAAAGCACCTGTTTTGACTGAAAATTTCAGGACAATTTGAGAATCATATAAACTGATTAAGGACGAAATTTCAGATAGAAATTCGTTTCTTTCAGGTTTTTGGAAGGTCCAAGATTTCTGCTAAAGGACGTTGCGTAACTCTAGAGGAAGAACAAGGTACTTCGTTTTAGCTATAGTATGAGCATACTGAGGGTCCACCAGCTCTATTGTTATGTTTGTTTTTCTTCTGTTGCAAGAAAAATCTCCTCGGGCTTTTAAGGGTTAATACACTTTTAAAACAATGGTGAATCTACGATTTTGGAAGGAGATGAAATCACACGCAAAAAAACATATTTTAACATGCATTCGAAATAGTATGAAGGTGTTTTTCGTTCGTTTTTGCTGGATAAAATCGAAAAAATCCTTTCGAATGAAGTGCAATCGTCCTGTTGAACTCCCTCACTGTTTCAAAACGGAATTAAATAAATATTCGTTTTCGTAGTGTCAGTGGAGGATCTAGGATTTTCAACGATCAGGGCGATTTTGGATAAAAATCCCTTTTTAGGGATCATCCAAGATAGTATCAACTCATTTTTCGTTTGTTTTTTCGAGACAACCGGGGAAATTGTCTCGAAAGGGGGGGGGGGGGGGGGGGAAGGGAAAGGAGGCGATTGCTCTATTGCTTCTCTCCTAAATCCATTACTACGTAGTGTAAAACAGGCCTATCTGTACAATACATATGTATATAGGCGACAGAAAGATATCATACTTATACAAACCATAGAATTTCCGTGACTCACGGTCTCGGTCACGATCATAGCACGACCGTGACCGTGCGTGACCGTTACCAAACTTGTCGTGACCGTGTCCAAAAATTGTTGGTCACGCCGATGTCTAGTCGGGACATCCTTGTTTCGACTATTGTATAATCTTAAAATTCCATTGTTGGAGTTATTTCTGTACATGAATGTCTAATTCTGCTTTGATGAGATATTTACTCTGAAATAATCAAAGCTTCAGTTAATATTTGAATTTCATTCGATGATTTTCTAAGAGTTAATGAATCGTAATTTTCCATTTTATGTTTATTCATAAGGACATGAACAGTATGGGACTGGAAGGCTTTTGACAACGAACAACAAAGAATTTAAATACAACAGAAAGATGCATTATAGATTAAATAAAATCAATATAAAATAAAATATTTAGTTTTAGTTTTATATTTTGTTATAGGTTTTGGTTATAATTTTCAAACATAATCGCAGCTCACTATGTCTGATCTGAGCACAAAATAAACAATGTAACAAATTGGATATATTAGCTCATTGTTTATCTCACTAGTCAATTATAGTTCTGTTTAATATGTTTAACTTCTTTTGTGTTCTATGTCTTCTAGTAGCGAACAAAACAATTTCTTTCGCCATCTCAGAAATGCGTTTGCATATTTACCACTTGTAGATAACTGTCCGAGAACTGTGGAATAGGACTTAGTCATACAATCATATTATTTTGTTAGATTTCTTCTCGTTATGGATTTATTCACAGCATATAAATGAAACAATATTAATTCTTATTAAATGGACAGAAATATGAGCAAGCTCTTGGCTGAAAAATGGAACATCTTACAAAGTTGAACAACGATCTGTTGAAATGACGTGAATGTTTGTCGGACTCGATAAAAAAGTAGTGTGAGACGGTACTATATCGATTTTTATAATACTCATAAGATTTGAATGATCCATCTCTTGAGAATAAGGGACTCTGGTTTTGTAATCAGAGTCTTATTGTATGTTTCTATCATGATAACTAAAATATGGCTCTTTTCCCTTCTAACTTGTATACTATAACAGAGAATAGAAAAGTCGAAATAAATAACGAAAATAATGATGATACACAAGAAGAAATAAAATAAGTTTCAGTGTAATTGATTATGAGGAATTCGATTTCATGTTTCATCTTGTGTTTGTTGTTTCTTTACATGCTCTGAAAAGGCTCGTAGTGCAATTTATTCTAATATTTTATTTGTTTCATTAAGAAAATAAAAAAATACTACTTTGATATTGATAAAGATAAAACAGAATAAATAAACATCATTAGTGATCGATTTCAACTATTTATAAGTAGAATAAATTTTCTGTGACACATATTTGATCAAATCATTGTTAAAGATGAAACCTATTATTCATTGTTTTGTCTGAGTCAATTAAAATGTCGCTGTGTAAAATTTACTATGTTATATTTATCATAGTCAATCTAGTAAACTGTGATTGTATGTAGCAAACATGTTGGTTTTTCGCAAATCAAACGATTTTTGCTGATGATAATAATTATTCCGATGGAAGAATATGTATTAGAATATTTCTATTAACTGAATGTGCATCAAATATGCTTGATATATTTTATCAATTCATTTCAATATCCATGCATATTTTATCGAAGCACAAAAGAATTCTTCTAATTTAGTACATAGTTATTTTCATTTCATATTATTTGTAGCTTATTTTTCGCAGAGACGTTAGAAACAGTATAAATGCACCATTGATTTATAATTTCTGTGTCAAACGAACATTTAATTAATGGAATAGATAGCGAAAAAAAAAGTTTCAGTACAATACCTACCGGATTATAATATAAAACACGATGAAGCTACTTTAACCACCATTGGATACCTCATCATCTATAGTCCATACCGTGACATACACATATTGACATTTCTGTCTCAGACTGTTAGTAGGTTAGAAGAATATCGCCATGTTTTTCGCGATCTTTGCAGTAAATTGGGGAACATGGGTTCCATTGGCTCACTATATATTTTAATATTTATTGACATCCATATTGCACAAAAACACAATAATAGTGATACAAGAGCCTTACGTAATTTCTGTAGTGATTCAGACAAAGGCATGACTAATTGAAAGGTTATAATGTCACTGTTATAAGATGAGAAAAGTAGAGAATGAGTTATGTTGATCTGTCAGCCGGTTCGATCTGACCATTTAAGATCAGTACCAATAAGAAAACCATCTTATCAATTGCAGCTGTAATTTCAATATTGAAAGCAAGAAGGCTTATTTAGTTTTATATAATTGGTATTCCAAACAATATCAATCCATAGCTTAAGAAAAAAAATGACGTGGTACATATATCTGAAAGAATTTCATCAATTTCCCGAATAAAAGATAATCTCTGTTAAGATTGATAAAGACGCCTTTATTGCCTGGCTTTTCTTTTGAAGTAATATGAATTTGTTAATGAATATAAACTCAAATAATTTGTTCGGATAAATAAACAAGTATTCACTATCTCTATCAGAAAAGTTTTCCATTATTTCAACCGTTAAAAGACAAGTCAGAGTGTATTCATAATATATTTTCTGATATTCTTTTACAAGTTATAGCTATACAATTTACTAAATGCTAAATTATGTTCGCAAGTACCAAAATATTTTATAGATTTGTTTTTCTATTATTTATACTATAAATTTATGGCTAACAAAAAACTATTTTTATTCAGGCAGGTTTTTATTAGCAAATAATAAAAGAAAAACATTTTATTAACAACGGAAAGGAAGAACAAGTTTCAATAAAAGGTTATGAAATGACGTCATCAATAATATTTTCATTAGTTCTGAATCATGTGGGAAGGAAGCTGATTCGTAAGTTGGAAGAAAACAAAGTGCCGTATAAAAACTCGCCGTCTTACCCAATGTCGTGTTACATACGTCGATATTTTGTTACAGGTATGTTAGCTTTTTTTTTTTTTGCTAGAAGACAAATGATGATTTATACTTGAAAGGTGAATCAACAAAATAGATATAAGAGATAAAAACTATAACTGACTTTCTTCTATGATACAAGATGATGTTGATGTTGAAATAGCTCTATATTCGTTATTTTCGAAAATATTGAACCAAAAAGCTAATTTGAATTTTCCCAATTGTTCAGTATTGATCAGTGTTTTAGTTATTGAACCACTTTGATACAAGTTGAAGATATGTATTCGTACACTGAGTTAATCGTGTAGCATATTAATGATTAAATTAAGCAATAATTATAACTTACTCTTTTTCACCAGCTTCATGTTCTTCCAAACTAATTTTTGAATAAACGTATGCATGTTCTCGATCGAAATAATCTGTTGAATCACATCGATCGAATTGTAGACGATCGAGATTGTTGTCATTAGAAAATAAATCCATACTGACAGTGGTACCTTCAGGAACAGGTATTTTTGAACGATGTTCACGACTATCATAAGTTTGCACCTTAATACCCAAATACATTGAATAAGTGCCTTGGGGAGGAACCTGAAAATAATACGAATGTTGTTTGTTTTCATTGAAATTTTCGTTGAATATAAGTAATATTTTACTTTTACGCGTGTCAATTTACGTTGAGAACCATCACCAGCTAAAAGAGGAATTTGATTTTTCGCAAGATCTTTCATGTTTCGGTAGTGCCATTCTTTTTTTGGCTGATTGAGAATCTCTGGTGCTTCACATTGAACTAATGCTAATGTTGATGCTGAAAGAATTGGAAAATTTTCAGTAGTGTTTGATAAGGTACTTGGGACGATAGATGAGATGTTAACAGAACTTTGGTCAATTTGTTCGACATAATGTGTATTATGAAGTTGAACTAAAGAGATGAAGCAAGTTCCTATGAAAGTACTTCATTTTTGATGTTCACCTGTGTTAACATGTTGATCATTGTTTGCAACAACTGTATTGGAAACGATAGGGGTACTATTACTTTCTAAAAATAGAACAGATAAATGATGATTAATAATAATGCGTACCTTGCATATTTACGTGGAATTCGCTCAACTGCGCTTTGAATTATCTGTGATAAAAACAACAGCCGTTGCTGTAAAAGTTCAGCCGAAGCTTTAGGAGATATGGAATTGAGATTAGTGATATTAAAATCTTCAGAGAAAATAAAAGCTGATATTTCTTGTTCACAATCTTTGGCAGTATACCTGGTTCTTGGTTTTGTACAAAAATTTCATTGAGCCATGGTCCAAGATTATTCTTTAATTGATTGATTTCCTGGAGCAATTGTTCAATGCAAGCAGAGGCTCCTAATGAAGTTCCAGATTGTTGATCGACTAAACAATATGGAGTAATAAATTATTGATGATTATATTGACTAAGATACATACATGAAGTTGAATGGTTCTCTGATGCAGAAGTATTGTCAACTGCCATATCTAAAATACTTTGATATTGTAAACTATTTATCAAGTATAAACCTTACAGCTAAGATCTTCTGTAGACAATTCCAAATGTTTTTCTGCTTGATTGTGGTTTTCATTCACTAATAAATTGAAAAAAATATATAAATCGTATTGAAATTATGTGTATAATGATAGAGAACGCACTTTGTTGATTCATTTGGCTAACTAGTGTTTCAACACAGTGCCAAAAAAATATATCATCACTTTTAAAGACAGTGAGTATTTCTCCATTGATGTTTTTTCTATAATACCAGGGAGAACAATAAGTGTTGTCAGCATTACACCAAATAAAGGCATGTTTTTCTCGAGTGTATTGTTCTTTGTTAAGTTTGTAGAAAAATTTTTTGTCAATAATAGTATGCTTATGATCAATAAACACAATTAAGTGAAGATCGATATCATAAAGATTTGCATAAGCTTTAATCAAATCGTGAAAAAATTTCTCAGAATTATCCTTGAATTTGGTAACATCATGAAAAGTACGTGTAACCAAATCAACTGGATGTTGCCAATCTCTTGGAATGTTGTTGGTTTGATAAGTTCCATTTGACACAATAAATATGGCACCATCAAGTAAATCGTGTGTCCAGCACACACCAATAGGACTTTCTGTAGAACTAGAAAATATAAGTCAGTTGTATAACATGAAATGATAAAAGAGAGTAATACTTTGTTGTGTTGCCAAAAGAAACATCATGACTTGCAGGAAAGCACAATGTTGAATCTAGTTGATTGTTGTTATTAATTAATTCATCAGGATTCGATAAAAATTCATTTTCCATGATTATTTAGTTTTGTCTCAAATCGTATGCTCTCAAATGGAGTACTGAGTATTGTAATTTGATTTTTGTCGTTTGATTATTTTGACGAATGTTACTATAAACGAAGGATAGAAAAAAAACATGTCGAGTCGGAATATAATGACTCATCGTTCCAACTACATGTGTAAATACCCGTGAGTACATGCAGTAACAAAGTCATAAGATTTACTATTGCGAAGAAATTTTTTTATTATCCTCTAAGACAATCATGTTAACGTAAGGCATAAAAGGAAAAAGCATACTTACCGTTCATCGTATTAATAATGAAAGAAAATAGAAATGCATAATAATAGACGGTATTTGAACATCATGTAAATCCATATGTGCAGGAAAAGCTTAAATAAAGAATATACAGACGGTTTCCTATTATGCTTTTGCTTTGAAACAAAACAAAATCGATGTTAACCGATATGAAATTGTAAATAGCTCGAAAAAAATCTAAAAAATTAGTAAGCAATTAATATTTTCGAAAGTTAGCTTAGTTTAGTGTTATTTCTAGCGAGTTTTTTTTATTTACAATGATTTCAAAATACAATAAGAAATGACTACATAATATTTGAAAACAAAAATTAAAAAACTCAATTTAATATTTTTCTTTGATACATTATCGGAATAAACTATTCTATTAGTACCATTCATTATATTTATCTATCTGTTGAAGCATGAACAGGTTGTGAACAAATTTGTGCATGTTTACCTGCAAAAAAAACAGAATATTCGCAATAATTCTTATAAACTTATCCTTACCATGAGCAACATATGGTAAATAGCCATCGAATAAATAATTCTTTTTTCGTAACGAACTGTCCTCAACAAAATCTGTTTTTATAATAACTAGATGAAGCTCATCATTTTCTTCAACTTTAGCTGGTGATATTATTGATAATTTTTTTCGTTCCATTTTGAAGTCCTTATTCTTGAGCTTGATTTCATTGCATTCAATGTGAAAATCTAGAAGAATTTTCAATTAAATCCAATTGATATTTATCCATATTTGTAATCATACCTTTTTTACGACTTATAACACTTAATGGTACAGTAATGTTTTCACCACCCAATTCACATAATTCTTTTGGTTCGATCTTAGTTGAATCGATAGTTACATCTCCATCCTCTAGAAAAATGCGTATTATACTGAGAAATAAAAATTTGCTACGAGATGCACATTACGTAGTTCAATGACTGATGTATAGGAAGGATGTGACACAAGCTGATATTGACTAGAAGTAATTTGTATACATAATTGAAATTCAAGTCTGCATAGTCGAAGATTTTCACGTTCAATAATTTCTGTCATTGATGGGCCATACTGTTTCCAATTGAAAAGATAAATTTTTACCCTAAAAATATTGATAAGTGACATAAATGATATAAAATCTATACTTGCATTTTTCGACGAGTTTTTCGTTCGTCATCAGTAATTATTAAAAAGACAGATTCAGTTACTGGATCAAAACTATCCGAACTACACTGTAAACAACTTCGTTCATTTTTATCTTGCATTAATGTCCAATCAACACGCACATTTTCAGGTACAACTGTTTGGCAAGGATGTCGATGTCGATTTTCTGTGACAACTCGAACACGAACATAAAGTTGTACGCCATCACCGTAACTAGGTACCTTCAATAAAAAGTGGTGATATTTTTAGTATGAGTAAAAACATATAATTAATTACTTCTATCTCAGGATACTTTCTTTGTTTCTTGCCTTCACCTGCTTGCACAAGTGGACATTTCTTATTTGCTACATCCTGTAACATGCGAACACGTCGATGATGTTTTGGCTGTCTTTTCACATTTGGTGCATCATAAGTTTCTACTGAACCATGGCTTGTCCGAACATCTGGCCTGATTATTGTTGCTGGTCTCGTTGTACTTTGAAATAAACAGATGGGAATATGGGAAACAATATTTTTCGAAGAGCAAATATGATTTTTTGCGTGGCCAGTTTTACTTTGGGCCGTATTTGTCATAACGTTTTTCGAAATCCATTCTCCTTCTTTCAAAATTTCATTAGTCGACAGTTGTCGATCATCTGTTTCCATCGATGTAGTATCATCAACTTGTTCTATTTAATATAATAAGAAAACAATAGAAGTTGTACTCGTTGAATTATACAATAACTTACGATGACGATGTTGGAGTTGATTCAAAGATTTTGTCATGATTTCAAATTGTTCGTATACTTTTCCACCTGAATCTGTACCAAATAATAAATTGAAATTATTACCGATTGAATCTGTAATAATCAAAATAGAATAGTCGTTTTTATTCGATAATAAGTGTTATTCACGATTCACTTGCTGACCATGAACATCCAAAAATAGTTGCTATACCAGTTTATTCATTGCGTAGGACGCTCTCTGGTATTTTCATCTTGCTCATACGTATGAATAAGATGAACAGAGAAGATATTGTCCTACGCAACAAGCAAATTGGAATGGTCAACTTTTTGTGCATTTATGTGGCCAATAAGCGAGTTGTGAACAATGTTTATTAGTATCTCATTCGATGCCTTTATTATTTGAAAGTGTATTCAGTTTCAAATTTGATAGCTAAACACTGATAATTTTGAAATGTTGAGTATTAATTAGACGGTAAACAGTGCTTTTCTTATACAATAAACAAACTATTAAACTTTTCTTTTTATCTATACAATACATAAAAGCTGTGGTTTTAGATAAGAAAAAAAAGCTTACCTTTTGGATCTGTCGTAATTTCTTCCGAAAAAATATATGAATCCGATTGAACAATAATTTGAGAAGCATGATGAATATCACTTCTGCTGTCTTTGGATTTGATCACAACAAATTGATTTTGAACAGCTAAAACAATAGTACAATATTTTGACTTTATCTCGTTCAAATTAAAGTATTTACTTGATCTTGAAGGAAATCGAGCGTCTAAATTATCTGTTTTTTGTGATTCTTCACGATATGTTGAAATATCATCGTTGCCGATCATATGATCTGTCTGTGAAGCTGAATTTTGAGATACTTCAAAGACATAAAGAATATATTTTTTAGTTCATATTTTGCAATCTTACTCTCAAAATTTCGTTCCTTAATTAATTTCACTATATGATCCATAATAATTTCATCGTCAGCAGCAAAACATGTTTGAGGTCGACCATCAGCATGAGTGGCATACCATGGAGCAAATAAGGATTTTTTAGAATCATACATGATATAAGCAATATTACGATGATGCTTCTGTCGTTTGATTTTGCTCGAAGTTCCCCGATATGCACGAATATCCTGATTATAGATGGGAAGATCATCAGTAAATTGTATAATATTAAGTTCGAGGTTGTATAAATCAGCATAGCCATTCAGCATATGAACTATTTGTTTTGGTGTTGCAGTACGTGATATACAATCTAGAGTGCGCTGCATCCAAATAGGTCGACATTTTCCAATACATCCATTTCTTGCTATAAATTTCATGCATTTAGATAAATCTGTCCATGGATCCATTTCAACAGGATAATTCCATGACCTAGAAAGTATATAAGTTAGAGCAATCCCAAAAATGATTGATAGAAAGATTCCTTACTTGAGATATTGACCACGTAATACATCAGTTGTAAAGCTTTGTCTTGGGCACATTGGCAATGGCCCTAATTCATCTGTATCTAATGACTGTCTTGTTTCGGTGCAAGTTAAAGAAATTCCTTTTTCCATACGTATTTATTTATCTCTAAATTTCAATTACCTCTAAATTCAAAAAAACATATATATATATGCTGCACAGCAATGAATCATCAGCGAATAAACAAAACCGAGAGAGAAAAACAATAGAAAAAGTCAAAAAGAGCGAGATAAAAATACGTCAGCATACAAAACCAGTCGGTATATTCCAGCTATAGGCAAACCAAAACGTACCTTAACATCTGATTAAATTTTTTTCCTACTCGTTGATTGGTACAACTATTATAAAGAATAAATTTTCTTTCATCACGAAAGACAAAAGCTTTGTTAATCATGTAGACTTGAGTACGGCTTGAGAGCTATCAAACACTAAAGAAAGAATGTGTTTTTGTTCTTTGTCTACGTAGAATTTTTCATATTTGCATTCTTATTTCACAAAATGAAAATAAAATAAATAATTAATAAGCGTCCAAATACTGTGTTTCGAACCACTTGTACGTCAAAAGAAAAATGGCGTTAGTGTATCGAAAATTTTTTCTTTACTGTCATTATTTTCATTATGACACAACATCTACTCTGATTCGCAATCCTATATGTGATATCATAATATTGCCTTAAATACCTCCTAAAATAGTTTCAATCAGATTTGATGAATGACAAAACGTCTGAAATAAAAGAAAAATGCGATACGCAAGAAAAAGTAAATATATTTTTAATATAAGAGAAAAAGAAAGAAAAAATTTTGTGCAACATGATAAAAAGAAAAGCATGACGTATTTTACTCTTATATTTTCTCTACTGAGTTTACTTCATGATTGTTAGTAGTTTGCTCGATGAAAGCAGTAAAATATACTTCTCTATAAAAAGCATTCATTTTTCTGACTAACTGTAATCGATATTATTGCGAGTAATATTTTCGTTAAATCCATGCGAATAATATAAACGTAAACAAAATACACTCACGAAATGTTGGTTTTTTCCAAACACAATAATTCATTCGAAATGCGCATGTTTCAAGTAAAAAAGATTGCCAATGCTTATTTTTTTATTCGATCTATTATCTATATTTATATATGTATATATTTTCAGATGTTTGTAAATATTTCGTAGTATTGCATCAGTATTTCATATACAATTTCTCAAATCAAGTTTATTATGCAGCCAAATCTTTGACACAATCTGATTATCTAACAAATTAATTGCTTTTTAATAGATACTATTGATAAGTAATGAGTCGATATTTATAAATAATTGTTATAATAAAATAGATTAACATTTCTTTTACAATATCGAATGTCAAATTCATAAGCAGATTGAATTCTTATAAGTCATTGTAGTTTTATTTTCGATTGTCATATGTATTTTTTACTACAGTATGAACTGTCGTATTAAGCTCATCTTCCAAAATATACAGTGTTCAAGAGAGAACAAGCCAGATATTTTCAGTTGTAAACTAATATTAAATAGTTTTACATTTTACCTAAGACAGCAGTGAGGAGGAAAAGAACATGAAAAATGTGGATGAAGCTAAAAAAAATTCGTAATGTCTACGGATTCTAATTGTTTATATCAGTAATTTATCCAGTGTGAAGTTTAAGGGAACAGCATCTCTCTTAAAATTGAATTGTTTCTATCGGATTTATAAATCGTCTCTCTGGAAGAGAAATTCTGAATAAAACACTGGTTTATATGATGCAAAGCATGACGTAACCTCACTCAGACAACACATAGCAAATAATAAAGTAAATATATGATTGTCTCTTTTGAAAAAGATTCTGTATATCTATCAATTATAAATCATTATGCGACAAGACATTATTTATCATTCTTCAATCACAGATGAAAATCATACATTTATGATATCTTTTTATTGTACACTACACAATTAACTTTTATTTAAAGTTCCTTTTTATGAAACAAAGAAATGATAAAATACTTATTCACTATTTCTGTTTCTCAAACGAGTTCACAGTTAAGACTTCTTTTTATTTGATTTGTCTGAATTAAAACTCGAAATAATTGTTAGTCATCTATAAGAATGCATCTGAATTAACCGTACAATTTTTTTTTGTTAATATTAATATGAGTTGATTAATAGAAAACAAAAAAATTTCAATTTTAGCTGTCTTAATAGTACCAAAATTAGCGTTTGCAGATGTTATATATAATCAAAACTTTATATATTTTAGTTAGCATAATTATACTAATGCATTCTAAATTTCGTGTTTGTTTTTGCTATCATCATGGACACTTCAAAACAAGTTAACTGAAATCTTGTGTTAGACATACTGATAAAAAAATCAAACCAACTGAATTGATTAGATTCATATCTTAATAATTACTGTGGAATTCTATATTGAACTCAATAATCTCAGTGTTTGGTCTTCATATTTTTATTTTGATTGAAAATTGGACTTTAAAGATGTCTATATTGTTGTATCATTGTTATTAAATATAATGATACAAGAGGATTATTTTTACCTTACAAGCAGTTTTTTTTTAAAAGCGAATATTTGTCGAACTAGCAAAGAAAAAAAGCAAATAAAAATAAACACGATATTTTGTGAAGACATGAAGCAATACACGTGGGAAAGAAGAAAAAAAAACCCAGTCAACAATATTTCGCTTACAAGGAAGAACGACATTCGATATAAATAGGACGCAAAAGTAAGAGCAAACTTCATTTGATGTAGCCATTATTGCACCACTGCAATTTTCCAGGTAAAATTATTTTTATTTTTCATTTTTATCAAACACCATAGAACAAGAAGAGTTATATTTCTTTTTTCCTAGAAAATAAACATTAAAAGGACGAAAAATCATATAAGAATTTTTACTTTCTGTAATTATACAAGATAACGATTCAGGAGAAATTGGCTTATAATTTTCATTTTCTTTAATACATAACCAAAAAGCTAATTTACATTTGTCAAGTCGTTCACGTTCAATCATATCCTTGGTTAATCGTAGATTTTGGTATAAATTAAACATGTATATTGGTACCCTTTCAATCATATATATAATCAATAGAAGAAAATTTATATGATACAATAAAGAATTACTGTTTCAATTGTTGTCGATGTTCTTTTGAAGTAATTTTCATATAAACATTTCCTGTATTTAAATCAAAGTAATGCTCTTGATCACATTCATCGAATTCCAAATAGTTAAGATAGTTGTCATGGTTACAAAGATGTTTGTTCACTTTGGTATTTTCTTGCACGATAACTTTCGAAGAATGATAATGATTATTAATAGTTCGAACTGCTATAGCAAGATAAATCGGTTGTGTGAATTTGGAAGGAACCTATGAGACATGTTAAAGATATCAATTGTTAGGTTTTTTAATATAATTAATTAGCTACTTTCACTTGAATGTGAGAACGTTGATTACCAACACCTTGTAGAAGTCCGATAAATTTTCTTTGTTCTTTTTTGTTCATACGCTTATTAGTTTTTCGTCGATATTTTCGTTTTACTTGTAGATTTTTGTAGGCTTCGTTCGTTGGCTTTATTATTAAGTCTTTTGGATATCGAGGATTCCAATCTTGTTTTGGTTGGATAACAATTTCTGGTTTTTCATATGAATATTGCGTAGTTGTTTGTGAAAGAACGATTTGAAGAACTTCTGTTGTTTTTGATAAATGAGTTGATGTAGATATTGAAGTATCAACTGAAATTTGATCCGCTTGTGTAACACGATCTGATTCATTTAGTTGAGCTAAATAGATACAGGCAATTGTTATACAAATATTTTTGTTTCTAAAGGGTCACCTGCATCGCTGTGATAGTTGTTGTTTGTATTAGAAAAAATAAAAGTTTCGTTGTATTCTAAAAAAAATAATACATAATAAATTTTGAAATTAAACGATTATATACGTAGTCTATGTTGTTCTAGCTCTTGAATGACATTCGGTAAAATCTGTGTTCGTTGTTGGCAAGTTGTTATTACTTGTGCAGATATATGGTTGAAATTATTAGGATTGATTTCTGAAAGATAAACGAGAAGAAATCGATTGTTTTTTTTTCTTAACAATTTACCAGACTCTTGGATTGATAACGAAATAGCATTGGTTGTACATAATGTTTTATTTGTTTGAAGAATTTTTTGTTTAATATGATCACCGTAAGTACGATTTTCAATTTTATTTTCAGGTGAAACAAAAATTTCTAAAATAATAAATGAGAATCATTGATAATAATACTAACGTTTGAATTTACCTGGGTTTAAATCATTTACTAATAAACGGATATCATCTATAAATTTATCTATAGTAATACATAATTTATTAAATTATATCTTACCAATATACCAATCTTGAGGAACATTCGAAATTGTTTTATCTTCTATTTGAGGAAATAAACTTCGATCTATTTCAAAACAAATACTATTTATTTTATTTAACAAACAATAAAACGTACCTGTTCGATTAATTTCGTCAATATATTTATCAACATAATGATAGATACTCATGTCATCAAAATCAAAAACAGTCTGTATTTTCTCATTTCGATCAAGAGCAAATAGTGGACCACAAATTGTATCATCACCATTAAGTACGATAAAAGCATTTTTCTTCAGTTTATTTTGATTAACAATAAAATATTCATTAATAATTCTAAATTTTCCATCTACAAATCCAATGAAGTTCAAACGTGTGTTAGAGAATTCAAGAAAATCTATGATCAGATGAATTAATGTATGTCTATTTCTGTACTTTCGTACAAGATTATTAAGTTGTTCGTAATCTGAATCAGTTAATTCATTTTGATTTTTGTCTATAGTTTTGTTTTTAAATGTAGAATCATTTGATAAAATAAATTCAAATGTATCACGAGCACTTTTTGCCCCATAAAGTTTAAGAAAAGTATCATTTCTATAATGAAAAAAAAAATTTAATAATTCAATAAGAAGAAAAAAATTACTCTATATTATTGACACATGATGTTTCATAATTATTTTTGATATTTGTCAATAAATTTAATTCATTATCAGTATCCATAAAACAATGTTCATTTAATGTATCAACAATGTTCAACATGATTTTATTAAAAAGATGTATTCTACAAATGAAACTATGAAAATAAAAAGCTATTTATTAAAATAATGATCGCCAGAAAAGTACATAAGTGGGATGAAAAGGAAAAAAAGAAAGAACGAAACTTCATGTCCTTGTGAGATATGATTCATTTTCTCCAACTCAATATATGCAAAAAAAAGTCGTGGAGTTTATAATAAAATGGAGTACGCTTTGTCTATATTAATAAGAAAATATGTAGTTCGGTTTTTCTCAATGTAAATTGCATATTTTTATTATGAGTAATATATAATGTTGTATCTTCATCTCTGAGTAATAGCTAGGAAGTACATAAATATCCACGTCATGCGATTTGCAAATAAATATTAACATAAATAACTTGTTTTGATAGTCACCGAAAAATTTCTTCAAAAAAAATTATTTATACCTTTAGGGTCAAGGTTGTTTCTTATCAGTCCTTAAACACACAAATAAAAGCGTACGATCAAAGAAGAAAAATAAACAATGTGGAGTAAATAAATATTTTCAAAACAGTGATTTGATCGTCAATATATTATATATTTTAAAGAAATACAAAAGCATTAGATAAGTTGTAGCTAGAATAATTCGTACTATGTTTTTTACTATTTATATTGCCCCTACACCATTAACAGAAATATCATTCAAAAAAAATTGTTGTTTTGATTTGTCGATAAAATCAGAATTTTATTTCAAGCAATGTTTTGCTGATCACAGACGTGCCATGGTTGGTCTAAAGAAAAAATTTATTCAAAAATTTCGTTCGAAGAAATCATTCGTTTTGTTACCATCATGAGATACATATTCAAAAATGTGATCATAGAGTATTTTTTTCGTATTTGCTCGTATTTTTTCGTCATATTCTTTTCGTAAGATGGTTAGATGAAGTTGCTGATTAGGTTCTGCTTTCAGTGATAAGAAGATGAGTAATTTCTTTTTTTGTATCTTGAATTTTTTTCCATCTAGTTCCTCATTATTACATAAGATAGAAAAATCTACGAAAAATGCATTGTAAAATTTGTTTGAATAACTAAATTGCTATTCTACCTTTCTTAGGACAATCCACACTTAATGGCAAATTAATTATCTGACCGCCTCGTATACATAATTTTTGTAGCTGAACGCTATCTGAATTAATACTAAGAGGACCATCACCTGAAATTAATTAATATAAAATTCATTACAATATGTTAGATAAATATAAATATTACTATCTTCAATAATTGATGAATAGGAAACTGTGGAGACAAGCTTGTATTCATCGTGACCACATTCAACACATAAACCAAATTCAAGTTTACATAAATGAAAAATTCCATTTTTAAACAACTTTTGATCCTGAGATCCTTGTCGTTTCTTAGTTATCAGATAGGCTAATATTCTAAAAATAGAAAGAAAAATTTTCAAGTATATATATAAATACTCTTGGAACAAAATAGTTGTAATTGTTTTTTCTTAAAAACATTGCTACCATAAAAACTTAAGTTTATATTGAAAAAGCATTCGAAATTTTCTGTCATCCTGTATATTTATGTTTTCAAATTAGGGGCTACTAGCTAGAAAATAAATCAAATGCAATGTAAGCATCCTCCTCACAAGACTCTTACCAACCGGAAATATTTCTGTACTGATGATAGTTAAGAGTAAAAAAATTAGTTAAGGAGATAATGACGAATTTCAGTTCGTGGAAACATGATGATGAGGATGCTTTCCTTGCAGTTGATTTGTTTTCTACCTACTATGCGTAAGTTAAAACATAAATATGTAGGGTAATAGAAAACTCCGCATGCTTTAAGAATATATAATTTTGTTATTATCGTGAGAATATCTTTCAAAAAAAAAACGATTAAAACTATTCTTTCCAAGGGTATTTATATAAATGAAAACATACTCTTTTTTGCCATTTTTACGTTCTTTAAGACTAATAGGAAGATATGTACAGTCAGCTTCTCGATCGAAATCATTCTTATTAAATTTTAAACACCTTCGCTCGCCATCATGATGAATTGATGATGCATCAATCGATGGATTTTTTCGTATGACTGCTTTGAAGTGATGCTTATCATTATTCACCGTAACAGCTCTAACACGAACAAAAAGTTCAGTGTTATCATCTTTTGGTACCTTCAATTGAAAGAAACTCAGTTTTTGATATGAATATATTGTTATTTACCTGAATCTCAACATGAGTTCGTTGTGCAGCGTCTTCACCACCTGCTTGTATTATAGGACAACGACCATCTTCAAGATCACTAAGCATGCGAACACGTTGATAACGATTTGGTTCAGTTAAAACTTTTGGAGCACCATATTGTGGTAATTCGTTGTTAACGTTTTGAGTGCTCGCTGTTGTTGTTAAAAATTCTAATTCACTTGATGACTTGGTTTGACTTAATAAAGATGGAGAGGTACGAATTCTTTTCCGATGTTGAGTATTACATGTATCACTCGATGCTGTTTCATATCATATTCTGTATAGATAGTAAACGCTCTATTTCTTAACTTACCTGCAAAGCATTGCTTTTCGTCAGTTTCCATCGATGGAACATCGTCAACTTCTTCAACTATGTACATACATAGGAATAAAATTAAAAGGATTTCGTGTGAGGAAATGTTTACCTTGAATAGGATCTGTAGCTATTCGAAGAATTTCCAAAATTGAATAAAATTCATTTTCTATTTTTTTGATTATATCATTATTCGGCAATCGATCAAAATCATTCGATGTTGAGTCTATAACAAAGAACAAAATTGAATCAATTATTCTTTATTGATATGCCATTTCTAGCTCAAACACTCAAGAATGCACTCAAATTTGAAACAAAGAATCATAACGAAATAATCAAATAAAGCTATTAGACTTGCTAGGATATTTCTTTCTTGAAAACTTAAAACAAGTTTCGTCATGGTAATATGGATAAATTTTTCAAAATTGAAAAAAAAATTATTAAATATTTCTTTTTTTGTAATAATCTATTAATACAAGCAAATTAACTTACATTTTAAGTTGTGATTAATTGAGATATTATCGAGTTTAATACCTAATTTCATAATGCATTTGAAAACAAGTTGAAAATGATTTTCAATTACTTTACAAGCCGGCATTATAGTATCTTTTTCACAAGCTCAAAAATATATACATTTATATAAATCAAAATACATCAATGAAAATAAAAGATTTACTTGATTCTGAAGAAATTTGATTATTGAAATTATTCATACTATGAGGATTCTGAGTGTTTGTTATATTATGATTGTAACCGTCAATGTTGCTAAGTTCGGATGTCATGCCTGCACATTCTTAATAAACTCAGAAAACCAAGAATATATTTAAAATTTTATAGACGTACTTGTAGGAGTCCATTTTTGAAAAAAATCAGTAATGTCTCGAATGACGCTATGATCATTCACTGAGAAACAAGTTTTTAAAGAACCATCAGTAGCAGTGACATAGAATGGTGCAAACAAGTTTTGTTTGAAATAGTACATTATGAAAGCAAAATTTTGATACTTTGATTGCTCGCCATTAACTGAAGCACCAACAAATGTACTTATTTGGTTATCATTGCCAATCCAACTATCATCAAACGGAATGAGTTGGAAGATAATTTGAAATAGGTCAGCATAACCATCTAACAAGTAAGCTAATTGTTCTCTCGTCATATTATCGGATATTTTGTTCAAGGTGCATCGTATTCCGTCATTATATGAATTCTCAATGGAACTGTTTGTAGCTATGAAATTCATGCATTCACTCAAAGAAGATAGTGAACGAAGTTGCATAGAACCACACCATTTCCTATGAAACAAAGAAAAAAAGACTCCTAAGTCCAGTTGAATACAAAATATTTATTACTTTGAAACGGTGGACAATTGCACCTTTAAAGAATCAGCTGGTTTTAGAATAACAGATGAATCATTAAATACATGTTCATTGAATAAGTCACTTGACTCTGAAGAATAAGAAGATTGAGCGATCATATGTACTTAATTGACTTGAATATCTATAAGATATGCAATTTTCACGTCTTATTTATAGATAAAAATAATGAATATTTGTTCTTGAAAGAAATAAAAAAGAAAAAGTCAGATTTTATATTCAGGTTGACAAGCGTCATAAGCACACAAATTACATCATCTAGTTGGAAAAAGACAACTGAAGTTTCCTGTCTTATTCAATCATAGTTGTGTTTTGTAAGTGAAATAGAGAAAGGATCGTACGAGGATATTCAGAAATGCTTCTATTAATAAAAACAACGATATAGTGATTATTATAATCATTGGTAACAAACTTTACTTATTCGTCATTTTTAACGTTTGAAATGAGAATGACAAATGTAAAATGAGATGCATTACTCATAAATAAACTTGGAATTTTCCTATGGTGATATTATTGGTTGATACTTATTTTAGATGAGAACACTCTGTTTGTTATGTTTAAGTATTTACTCTCATATTTGGCCCATATTTTTTTTTCATCATTGTCACAGTTAAACTAAATTTCCAGTGTCCATTCACATGTGACATCTATCATTTTATTCGATTTGTTCATGCTTATTGCAATGATTCATTGCCAAAATATAACTCATTTCAGTAGGTTTTAACATTTTTCTTTGGATATGTATCAAGGATTATTTCATACGAAATTATAATCAGAATATTTTTTCATTTATTTTTTAAGTTTAAAAACATAATAAAATATAGATATCGATTTTCTTCTAGGGATTGTATCAAGACATTATGATTGTTTTTTATTTTGTCGTCAGTAATGTTATGATAAAGTAGCAAACAGATGAAATTCACAATTTCAATATAATAAATAAAACTTTCATTAACAACAGTCATCGTATTCTTCATACCATTGATTCAATATTAAGTATTTTAAGTGAAAATTTAGAGAATACAAGAACAATAAGTGATTATAAGGAAAATATCCATTTGTACGATAGTAATTAAGTATTATATGATTGACATTGCCAAAATGCATTATTTTAATTCTTGTCAAATCGGCTTGCGGCTTCTGGTTGAGCTATCATTTGTTTATATAGTTATTTCTCATCAATTGAAATTGATCGAATATTATTAGTTTTTTAGGAATGAGTGAAGTATTGTCAGTAAATTGTAAATGACAGAAAAATAGGCAGAGATGAACGATATCATTATGTTGAAGATTATGAGTGCAGGTGTCAGAATGTAAGTATCTATCATGCTGGATAGGGACACTCGCATCCTTACCCAGTGAAAAATGACAAGATTATGTAAGATTATAACCGGATTTTTGTGCAACAAAATTCTAATTATAATCGATTGAAATCTTCTAAATCAACTATAATTTGATTTCTAATCAAAAACAATCTCCTAAATCAAGTATAATTTTGATTAAAATCTTATAGTTACGATTAAAAATCATATCAAATCAAAAACATATGATTTTAATCAAAATTATACTTGATTTAGGAGTTTATTTTTGATTAAAAATCAAATTATAGTTGAATTAGAAGATTTCAATAGATTATAATTGGAATTTTGTTGCACAAAAATCCGGTTATAATCTTACATAATCTGACATTTTTTCACTGGGTAATACTGCAATAGGATGTTGAATTGTTATAAATATCTTTACCGATTCTTTTTTCTTTTCTTAAAACAATTTGTTTTTTACATATTACCAACTACTTTGTAAAACTATTCTACTACTTGTGACTGTTTCATTTTAAACTGCATAAATAAAATATCTTATAAGGATTTCTACGTGGTTTTATTGTGTTAGATGTAAAATATTAAACTTTTTCAAAAAAATAAAAAATAAAGACTCGCTATTGTTGCAATTATATTTTTTCAAATAAATCCTTTTGTTTCATCATACAGTCCTAATACTTGTTGGTCAAGTACTTGTAACACTGTATGCATCAATAAATTTTGCTCTTCATTTAATTAATGAAGTTTTTTCTGTTCGAGCGCATCAAAAAGCATTGGATAAATATTTATAAAACGCAAAGCTCGTTTCTATATTTATTTGCAATAAAAGAAAGTGACTTTATGAAGAACTTGTCGAGATACATATTAAGCGAAAATTTATATAGCATTTGAAATATAAATGCTACTCTTTGTATTGTTGATCATCTCGAATTTGATCTTGCATCTTTTCTAAAATAAATTGATTTTATTGATTCACAGAAATTTAAGAAAATAGTTCCTTTCTTTACCTTTGACAATAAGAAAAGTATACCTTACATGCAACATTGTGCTACACAGTTTTGAATCAGGGATCCACGAGTCTCACTTGCGGATCTCAATTTCGAATACCTTCTGCAGTCGGATGAGACGGTTTTTGTATACAAGAAACAAAAAGTCTTCGATGTCACATGTCTGTTCGTACCACTGTCAATATACTACGATACTTATAGCAACCAGCAGTATACCGATAATTTACTAGAGGTAGCGCTTATAACTTCCAGTTACAGTTAGAAATGATTGCTGAGACTGTTTTCTATCCAAATTCAAATTAATCGACAAGACAACAGTTTCAGAATATATTTTACTAATACAAGTCGTTACAGTATCATTTAATACAAACCAAAGCAAAATGTGTCACATTCATGAGTCGCTAGTTTTATATGTTGCAGACTCTATATCGTCAATGTGCCGTAATATGAATGCGTCGTGGTCTCTTTGCTAACTATTCATTCGCCATTTCATTTGATGCATGCAGCTAAATACAACCTACTCGATTGAATATAACGCGCATGTTTATTCTTGGATGCTTTCTCTTCTAGATTATTTATCGATTAATTATTGATCGAAAACATGCCGAAAGATCGATTGATGATCAAGAAAGGACTGTCTCGAAGCGATGTGATCGAGATTAAACGAACTCTAGACAAATAGATCTCAAGACCTGACCCCGTTGAACTTTAAAGAATAAGCATCACTAATTAGAATGAAACTGGAAAAATATTAATTATTTATGTCTGTAGAAGAATGATCTATGCGTCGTAGGCTGGATTTCAACGATGTTTTCAAAATGTGAAAAAGATTGTGTTGAAAAGTATGACACATGTAACACATTTTATTTTACTGAATCAAAAACTATTTCATAATCGGAGCCGATGTGATCTTTGTGACTGATAAGGACGACTCAGACGTCATCAATATTATCAGAGTGCAGTCGAAAGCGATTAATTTCTATCAATTTTAACAGACTGGAAAAAATATTTATCCGCTTTGATACAATACTGTGAAAAAAAGTAGCTGGTATCGCGATTATTGTACCTCTCAATATGATGGCGGTAATTTCTCAGCATTTACGACATGGATTATCTTCCTCTATTTTGAATTGGTTGAAATATATCTTTCAATATATATTCATTGTCTATTTTCACAATAGAACAAACCAGAGCTACAGCCAGGTCACGTGGCCTATCTGAACTGTATATTTTTTTTTATACAAAATTTAATCTCTTAAATTGTATTACATACGGATAACAGATTGTGATGGGTTAATTTTCAATGACGGCAGTTTAATATGACGAATTATACGTATACTTGATAATAAATATTGAAAACAATATATTCAATGAAATTCATTATCATTTCGAACATGGCATTAGCAAAAAGTAAAGATTAATATAAGTAGTGACATCGATCCTCTCGCGAGATTTGTTTTCTTTTGTATGCAAAACTGTCAGACAACGTTTTCACAAATCATTGCTCTTAAAAACAGTCTTGTTGTTTACACAGAAATCGGATCGTTTGAAATAGCCAATAATTCCTGTGTATATCGTTTCCGATCTTTGACAATAATCAGGTCTGTGTGGCTATCATTATATTTGTTGATCACACACGTATTAATATATTTCGATAGAGATTGTTTTGCAGTGCAAATTGTTCTGAACACATCGAAGAAAAACACTGACTAGAGAAAATCTTTCCAGCAATATTTTTTTCTGAAATATAATATTTCAGGTGTTTTTGGCTGATATTTTGTTGATTTTCATGAGAAAAAATACAATTATCCTAAAATATCGTATGCTGTCCAATAATCAAAAAAAATGCAATAGCAGGTACTTTAACATCATCGAATAATTCATAGATCCTATCGGATTCAACTCGGTGACTTCAATCTGAGATAAAATTCGACATCATTCGTGTTCATAAAATTCAACTATAATATTGCTTCATATTGTTAATATGAGATACTGAGCTATTTTCTTAGCATTTTTTTTTCTAATATTTTCATCACATCGGATCTGATCACATGATAGTAATAGTCTTACAGTGCATTATTACTATTTTCTTTATCCATATGAATATTATCTATGAACTTTTTTCGAGAGTAATTATGATAGAAATGTGTGAATCGAAACAATATCTGCATGTGGTGCTCGATTCTTCAAGCTATTCAATGAATATAAAGATTCCTATAGGTCAGTTTTTATTCAACAAAAAAATATAACGAAAATAAAAAAAAAAAATATGACACAAACTATTAGAGAAATGCAACAGAGCAATTTGTCGGAATAATTTGACTATTAACAATCCATATCATGATCACTATCATCATTCTTATTGTCTGGACTACTGTCGTCTACAAAGTCTATTGATAACTGATAAAATGGATTTTTGTGATTGCGGATTGGTTGTGATACACGAGATCGATTGATAGTTTTTTCTACACAGAAAAAAGATTAGTGTGAAAAAAAGAATAAGAAGAATCAATTATGCTTACTTTCTCGAATAACGCAGGAAAATGATGGTTGAGAAATAGATATAAAATGGCCATTGTCCAAATAACATAACCAGAAAGCTAATTTACACAAATCCAGTCTTCTAGTTTCAATGATTTCTTTGGTTATCGTTTGATTTTGATATAAATTGAACATGTGAATCCGCACTCTATATATAACATATAAAAACATGTTGGTAAAATTGCCTAAAAAAAAAGAAGATCAATCACTTACTCTTTTAATTGAGATATATGTTCTTCTTCATTAATGTATAAGTAGACATGTCTTGTGATTGGATCGAAATAGTCTGTTCGACTACATGCATCGAAATCCAAACAGCCAAGATCGTTATTGTGAGACAATCTATCTTCCCTCACACGTGTTTTTGGTGGTACAATTACTTTAGAATCATGAAATTTGTGATCTTGAGTTACGACTGCAATAGCGAGATACATTGGTCGCATAGATTTTTCAGGAATCTGTAAATTATGTAGAGTTTTATATGATGAATTGTTATGACAATGATGAAAAACTTACTTGTACTCGGATTGGTGTTCGTTGAGGACCTTCACCAGATAGAAGAGGGATGTGATTTTTTAATAAATCTTTCAAACTTCGATAATGCCAATCTGATTTTGGTTCAGTGATAATCTGTGGTTGTTCATATGTATAATTTGCTAATATTTGTCTATCAGAAATATGATGGTGTTTAGCGCACATGTCTTTAGGTAATTCTAAAGACTCCTCAATAGACCTTGGTCGTCGAAATTCGAAACGTTCGCTATTTTTTGATAAATCAAGAGGCGAATCTTGTAGATCATTGTCAGAGATAGCAAGGGATGATTGATTAAAATTTCCGTTACGCAACTTCTCTAAATAGATGTAAAAAGAATTATTGATGTTTAAGAAAAACTCTGAATTTATTTAGAACAGAAGTAAATAAGTTATTTACAGAGTGTTCCAAAAGTCACACTATACTTAGTGCTATAGGACAGCACTAAGTATAGTGTGACTTTTGGAACACCCTGTAGAATGTGATCAATTGATATCTTTTCTGAAATAGTTATTTCAAAATAATTTTTTTTTGCAAATACAGCGAAGTATACATCTATTCATACCTTGATTAGTGATGATCTTTCCCATATTTAAAATTGATAATAAAGTTCTATCCTCAATTGTGAATTAATAAGAAAATCTGAAACATAAATAAAAAAAATGATTAGTTTCTCAATCGTTTTGATATTATGTTAGAATCTGAAATTATCATGTAAATGCCAACAAAACTTCACTAGCTTAATGAAAAGACTAAATCAAGAGGATCATCAATAATATTTTCTCAAAGTATTGCCATTTGTCAATGTAGAATTATTATTAATTGTTGTATGGGAATTTACGATGGAGTATCTGCAAGTGTCAATTCGTTTTTCAACCGAGACGATATATATTTGATGAATACTAGTGAGTTATAGAAAATTGTAGAATAGTTTAGTTTTCTGAACTTTTTTTTCTTGAGACATTGAAATTTTATTGCATTTTTCAATAAAAAAACATGCGGAAAATCGACTTTTGCGTTTCAACTTCAACCTTTTCATCAGCAAAGTTCTCAATAAGATTAGTTCATTGAGAAAGTTGAAATTTTTCTAGTATCTTTTATTTTGAGATATTCAATATTTGAAATTTTCATCGTACATTTAGATACTAGAACAGGTAAAAGTTGCACAATCAATTAAGTTTTATTGAAAACTTTGTTCATGCAAGCTTTGAAGTTGAAACTTAAAAGTTGATTTGTCACGCGGTTTGCGAGGATCGTAGTTTTTTTGTTTTTTTTTTGTTGAAAACTTCAATAAAATTTCGATATATCATGAACCAAAACTTGGAAAACGAAATTATTCCAGACTTTTCTATTACTCACTAATACTTATCAAATAAATATCGTCTCGATCGAAAAGTAATTTGACATCTCGAGACATTCTTTCGTTAACTGCTTTTATCGTTCATGCTGGAAAAATATTTAATTTTATCATCTTTTTGTATCCAACCAATTAAATTGAGTTTATACATGTAAATTTTACTCAAAATTCATGAAATAAGTATTATATATTCATTTTATAATAATCAGTTAAATATTACATTGTCCCAATTAATTGTTCATATAACTCGAAATGCAGTTGATAAAAATTAATATCTGATTAATGAAAATTGGTATAATTCGAAACATAATGTATAATCATTGAGAAGCTTTTTGATTATTGTTCACGTTTAGTTTCTTCACTGTTTTTTGTTATAATTCAGACTGCGTACTTTGTACTTTGTTTTTGAAGGTTGCGACAAAATACAGAACAGCAAAGATTGTTATAAATGCTTATAACGAACGAATAATCATGACGGTTTGGAAAGCTATAATGACTCACTATTCGCGTCAGCACATTTTTTTATTCCTTCTGATCATCATGCAAAAAAAAAACAAATACCTTTACGTCACATTTAATCATTAGTCAATAATAAACAAATATCATGCTTTTGAATCAAGGATGACAAATATTGAGCAAGGAAATTTTCATAGAAATCCTAATTAATAAGGGATATTAATATATAATACTAAATAGTAATTGATACAAAAAAATAGAGAAACGAACAAATGTAGTATAGTAATATATCAAAAAACATCAAAGTAAGATTATATCACCTGACAATGATTTATAAAAGCCACATTACATGTTATTGACCATCTTGAAATATTTTCGAAGCGAAATTTATACAATTTAGATCAACATACAATATTATACTAAATATTATATTTATTTTTGTGATGTAATTTTGAAAGAAAAATAGCATCAAAATTACAATCAAAAAATCTACGAAAAAACTGACGAAACATAGTGTACTTAAAAGAAATATTTTATTTTTCTTATGAAACTATGGCACAATCTTTATGTAAACTGCGTAAGGTCCTTCTCGCTATACAAGACTTCGTGTCTTCTATTATGTTCAAGTGTACAATATTTTCATGGAGACCTTACCCTTTGTTTAATTTATTTCCATAATTTTTTATTGAATGGTTTGTTTTTTAGGAAACGAAAATGATTCTGAGGATTTAATAAGATATTTTTACGGATTTAAAACATTAGAAATAATTCTTACCGCAATTATTTAAGATTTTCAGCTCAACACTCTAGAAACTAGGTATGTTTTGATGTAAATATATTAAATAAAGTGCCAATTTTGTGAGAAAATAATTAATGAAAGTAAGTCTTCTCTTATGTCCGGCGCATCGTTCTTTCAAAGAAGTCTTCTATTGTGAGAAGAAATGTAATTTATAATTTAATCTTACTCTATATTTGCCAAAATACATTAAAAGATGAACAATAATTGTATTACTAGTTCTATTTATTTCAATATCTTCAAATGTACTGTATATGTTCTAGTAAAAGCTTGTTAAATAATGTTGTAATTTTATTCTAAAACAAATGAAAGAAATATTAATATAAACCATTGGTAAGCGCTAATCAACCATTCTACTTACATAGTTCTACTGAGAGATAAAAGCTTTCTAAAGGTATATATAGTTGAATAATTACATTATTCATCTAAAGAAATATCCAAGTTAATCTTTATATAGAAGAGAAATAATAATAACAATAAGCACTTGTCATGAAAGTGTTGGAAATATACCGGCGTAGGTTGGCAAATTCGTACACTTGAACAAATCAAACAGAAGAAAAGTGAACGAAAGCTTTCAATTTCAGCAATTTTTCATCTGTGCCGCGAACGCACACAGTTTTTAACCTTCGTAAATTGCAATTTTGGAAGTTTCCGCAAGAATATCTTTAGCAAGTTTCATATTTCAAGTTATTGCGATAAATGAATCATGAGAATGATAGTAATTCTTTTGATATTGAACATGATAACAAGATGTTAGATAGTTATTATCGAGAATATGCAAATAACAGTTGGAATTATTTAAAAAATAATAGTTATAATGAATCATTTATTCGCAATGACTAAATAAGTGTAGGAGTTGTTGATATGATGTTGAAGATGTGGGAAAAAAATCAGTGACTAATGAAGCAATCAATTTAAGTATTATATTTCATATGACTTCTTCAACTATACTCATCGAACGAAAATATTTTTCATTCTTCGATAGATGAAATCGATTTACGCAATAGACTGATTTTTAGTTTACTTCTGTGGACATAATTACTTATGAGAATACATAAATATAAAAAACACAAGTAGTTTTCTTACCTGTTCTATATTTTATAGTTTAAAATCTCGTAATTCAATCTGTTTTCATCGATGATGAGACCATTTTTACTAGAAGATTTTGATATATTCAACAAATTTAAAATAAAAAATTCAACTAACATCAACTAATGCAAGGAAGATATCTCACTGAAGATTTTTAGAGACCAGATGAGTAAGATTCTATATTGGTTTAAATAAAAAATTCTTAAAGAAAAAAGAATATTTTGAATTTGTTAATATCAGTAATTATCGTCGATATTGAACTTGAAATTATCAATACGAAGATACTATTATCACAGAGATTTGATCAAAAATTTAGATTGAAAAGATAAAATTGTTCATCTCACATCACAGTCTTACGAGGAAAGTATCTCGACTAATTATTCGCTTTTGATTCGAGACTATGTTTTTTCGAACAGATCTTAATGAACTATGAATATTCGGAAAAAAACTTTGTGCCCTTAGCTATTTGCTGCCAAGATATTTAATGTTGACGATGTATTTTCAATTATGCCATAACGTTCTTTCAAAAACACAAGGAAAGATCATTTTGAAATTTTGACTTGAAACCTTTCATAAAGACTAGAGTCTGTGAGAATAATTTTTTATGAAAATCTCAGATATTTTTGTTTGTTCTATCCTAAGACACAGCTAAGATAAAAGTTTGTGTCTCATATTACTTACATACACCAGAGCGATTTGTGAAATTGCAGTAATAAACGCTATTTTAGCCCAGCTAGTGAAAATAATGTTGATTGTTGCGATTTCATTGACAGCTTTGATGTACACTGACAGGTTTTATGATTTTATTTTAAGAAAGGAACAGTTCGAAAACAAATTTTACTTGTGTTTCTGACGGGAATCACGGCAATAAATTATAAAAAAAATCGTAAAAATGAATTATTCTTGCATGAATAACCTAAGGACTTGAACTCTTTTTAGACTATTTATAACTCATTAGAAACTACATGATGCACATAGTTCAAACTTAAAAGTGATTAATCAATTGGAATACTTCTCTTGTCAATAATGTCAGTATTATATTACGAATTGATCTTATAAAATTAAGCATTAACACATAATACATATGTGAAACCATGTATATATATGTCAAAATCAAATGTGAAACTGTTTACAAAATTTCTTTCTAACTAAATATTAAATAGACTCTTCTGATTATCGGATACAAATGATTTATAGGATGGCATCAATTAAATAGAAAAGACTCAATATCATCATTGAAATAAAAACAAAAACTACAGCAACGTTTTGATTTTGCAGCGTCATTTTCACTACTTTCGTAAATACCTTGATCCCTAGATATATTACATGTTATTCAAGAACTTCTTGTTAAATTGTTTTATACCATTCTCGATTAATAAAACATACCTAAATTTACTCGAAAAATGTGTGCTGTGTATCAATACTTTTCAGCAGAAGAACAATATTTTTCACATAATTCTTCACTATTTAATGATTAAGTTCATATTTGAGTTGATAAGGATTCTAGATGTACCGAAAAATATATATTATTATGTCAAATGACTCATGCTGAATGTCATTCTTCCATTTTGTAATGCAATCCAAAAATGTTTGTTTGGAAATTTCGATGAGTTGCGAAATTTAATTCTTCACTCTGGAAAAAATGTCTTACATAGAAACTAATCTTATCAGTAATTCATACAAAGTAAAGATTTTTTCAACAAATGATTTAAAGAAATATTCCTCTTCATTGATGAATTAACCAACATTTTTCTTTTCTGCATTGAAATCCATCATAGAAAAAACCAAACTTGTTCATAATGTATGTACAAAATCAATTATAAAACCTCTTTATACCATTATCCATCAACGTAACTTAACAATTATCAAATTAAGTATATCAGGAAATACATATATATGTTCAAGTTTACATATTTTCGTAGAAAAAGAGTCAAAAATTTTTTTAAAAATCCAATAAAGAAATATGAGAAAAAAATAAAATCGAAGAAAGTCAATATAAACTTGTTTTTAGAGAATTAGTAGGATAGTTCTGAATAATAAACTATACACTCTGATGGTTCATTCATAATAGATTTAATGTACACCGATAGGTTTTTTGAAGGATTTTTTGGATTGTTTAGTAGCAATATTGTTGTCTCTGTTTGTACGTTCGTTGCCTATAATGAAGAATAAAATTAGAAGATTTTAAATTGATAATTACGAAAACTTACGTTCTGATGTTATATTAGACTGGTACACTGAAGACACACATTTGTATACTTCATTTTCAAGAATACAAAACCAAAAAGCTAGCTGGAATTTTTTAAGATCTTGATTTTGTACCATTTTTCTGTCTATTTGACCTCTTTGGTATAAATTGATTATATGAATTCGAATCCTATAAAAAAAACACATTAACCATGCAGATAACAGAAATAAGAACTAAACTAAAACTTTACTTTTTCATTAAATTTTGACGTTCTTCCGCAGTGATTTTTGAATAGATTCGGTTGTTATCAAGATCGACTTTATCATCTGTATGGCAATCATCAAACTTCAGACATCTCAGATCATTATTATTTATTAACGATTCATCTTCTGCCTTTGTATGATCTGGAACAATAATTTTCGCACGATGAGTTTGTCCATAAATAGTATGTAGTTCAGTAGCGAGATATAGTAAATTACCATCATCAGGAGGAACCTAAATGGAATCAAAATATTGTTTCTTAATTTATTTGAATAATGTCATACTCCTATGTTTAATGGTTCACGTTGTTTGGAGTCAATACACTGTATGGGGGAGCTTCTACTCTTTACAAATTCTTTCAAGTTTCGAGGATGAAATGTATTTTTTAATGGCTTAGACAATGTTGGTGAATGGTACATCTTTGGTGCAAAAGGATTTAACACAATTTCAACATCCAATCGCTTTTGATTCATTTGATATTGTAAGTCAGTTTGAATATCGATGAAATGAATATTATTAATTTCGGTCGTTGGACTTCTTATAGGACTTGGAACTGTAGATTGACGAATATTAAATTGAATATTTTCTATAAATAAAACACAATATTAAAAATTGTAAATAATATAGTAAAGAATGTCATTACGATGAGTATACATAGCTTGTTCCACTATTTCAATAAAATTGAAAAAGCACATGGTACGTTCTTTCAAAGCAGTAATCGTCTCTTGAAGAGACAAATGATTATATGAAATATTTTGTGAAACTAAAAGAACATGGTGTATGACAAAAACTTTGTCTCTTACAAATCACACGGGAAGTCTTCTAACTGATAAATTGCTTTGAAGTCAAGAACATGTGCATTATACAGGTTCAAATGAACTATGAATATCTTGAAGAGAATTCGTATTCATAGATGATTGTTGTAGACATACTATGCTTGCATCGTATGTTTTAGATGATTGTTGTCATCTTTCTTAGAAGCACCAAAAAAAATTGATTGCTGACTTCCGACTTGAAACTTTGTATAGAAACAAGCCTTAACAGGAGTATTTTATTGTGAATGTTTCAGATCTTGTCGCTGTTTATGTCCTAAGATACAACTATAGTAATAGTGTGTTTTGTATATCGTTAACTATAACTCGTTGGGTTAATCCTATATCTTCACCTGGTCGGGTCTGGATCTGAAATTTTTCTATTAACTGATCCAAGTTCGAAAATTTAGGGCTCGACCGACTCTACTTGGGCCGAGAAATGTGTAGGAAGCACTAGTTACCCTATACAAAAAGCCGAAAAAAATTTTCGTATTGTCGGAACAACTATTCAATGTCAATTAAAAAAATTCATTGAGAATATCAAAATATGGCTCAACTGGATTTAAAAACCGTCAATCAGCCAGACCCGGGTTCCTAAAGCGACCAAACCAGGTCTGAAAATCTTGGTCTCAATAAGTTCTATGACTCATACAATCAACAGATTTGATCTTCTTATTTCAAGGTAGAAGCAAATCAAAAGATTTGAAACTTTCACAAAAGCTACTCTCCCTAAGACCTGTCTCTATGCAAATTTTCAAGTCGAAAATCAGTTTTTGTCTTGTTCCTCAAGGATACCACGGCACTCATTTGAAATATATTATAAAATAGCTGTGTTTCCATAGCAATTAGCCAGGGACACAAACTCTTTTCAGCGAAGTCATAGCTCATTTTCATCTACATAATGCACATAGTGTCAGTCCAAAATAAATTAATCAATGAGAGGACTTCTTTCGTTAAGCATCTTACCGAATTGTTGACAAGTTTCATTCATTATATGAGCCTCTATTGGAAGTGCATCAGTTAATTGAAAAATTTGATGTAACATTTGATCAAGTAAAATACGAGATTGACTCTTAGCATCTACTTGAACAAAATTAGCAGCAATAATAATGATAATAATAAAATTAGAAATTATTCGAATTGTTTTAATACTTACAGAGATCTATTTGATTTGTCAAATTTGATGTATCATCCATTGATGAATCTAAACCAATGACGAATGATTATGGTTTTATTTTTATGATTAATTCATACTTTCAATAAGTTCCTGCATACAATGGACAGCTTGTTGTTCTTGTATTTGAGGGATATCATTTGACGGTTCTAATAAAAAACTAACATTTTCAGCTAAGATATTCGAACAAAAATTTACTGATGTCATTGAGACGAGCCACATATATGTACATATCTAAAAGAACGCAATGATCGTCTTTGGAGAAGACGGTCTCGTTATTACCATTAACTTTTTTGATGTATAAAGGTCCCTGAACTGTATTATCTTTATTGAGTTGTAAATAAGCTATATTTGCTTTATCATAATTATCATCATGGATTATAGAAAATTTTTCATTTATAAAAGCAATAATGTATAGATCAATATCAAAATGTTTTGCGAAATGTTTGCGTAAATATTCGAACATTATTTGTGGAAGTGTATTTAACTTTTCAATAATTTCGAAGATTTGCTCTTGAACCTCAGTTAATGTTGCATTACTTCCTTGGAATGAATTATTACAAAGAATATATCTGATTGCATCAATTAAAGTTTTACATGGAAAAACATCTGGATAAGTAGTTCTAAAAATAGGAACAAGAAAATCAAGTTCATATTAAAAATAAATGATAAATAATATTTACAGAACATGATGCGAAAATGTATTCACAGAGATCGAACCATCAATATCCATTATTTGATTAATTGAATTTAATTTGCTATCTGCCATTAGATTATATATAAGAATAATGTTATAGAATAAATATCTGAAATCGATTTCGTATTTTTTCAAAGAATGACACTAACGAGTAAATTAGGAAAAAAAACAATGACATTTGATATATTTTTATATCTCGAATACCTATTTCAGTTTGTTTTGGAAATATACTATTTGTCAAGTATGGTGACAGGATAAAAAGAAAAGTGTACTACTCATGCTTGTGGAAATGAGAAGGTGTACGCATGCTTGATTTGTGAAACCATAAGCGCACACAGTGAAAGTGTACATGAGAATAAAAGAATAAGCCGTGCACAGCCTTACAAGAATTTTATACAAAAAATGAATGTCAAAAACCATTATTTACTTTGACAATGATATGTGGTTAATAGATATAGTACTAAAAAAGCTAAGATGATAATATATCTCACTTGTACTAACATGATGAATAAAATTAATGAGATGAATAGCAGTGTGTCAAACAGAACTTATTCTAAAACTTGAAAATCTATAAACTACGCTATCAACGTTATTTAATTTTATGATATAGTTACTATGAAATGCTCCATGTCAAATAAACGACGAAGTGGTTACCTGTATTATATTCTTCTACAACGTAAAGAAATAACATACACCTGAATAGAAGCAGTGTGCAAACCATCTTGAGTTTTTCCTAGTCGCGCAAAAATCATTGTATTGGCAGTTTATCAATCCATTTCTGTGTCATATTTCATTTCTTTATTATAATTTTTAATTATTTTCGTTTATAAAGATGTTAAAAAATTAAATAGTTGCTATAGCCGCTTCAGTGTATATTCTAAAATTATAAGTCCATCAAAAGTGTGTCGACATTAGTACAATGGAACAAGCGTCATCTACGTATTCTGTAATGATTGGATAGAAAAGAGGTTCAAATACAAAGATGAATTAAATTGTATACAGTGTTCTAGTTTCAAGTACCGAAGGTACTTACGAATTTGAAAAAGTATTGTGGTTTGAATTTTATTGAAAAAAGAGATAAAATACCCTGAATATACTCTGAAAAATAGAAAAAGAACTCGGCTTATTTGTTGTAGTATCACTGAACAGTTGTCGTCTTTCTCTTGCTTATATATTTTAATTCCAGACGAAACTACGAACTATATTTTTTTTTAATATTCTTATCAAATTTATCATTGAAGATTTTTTTTAATTTGTTTTAGATTTTCAATATTGTTTCTTATACATACTTGCTTCATTAGTTCATTTCGGATGTTTTATTAATTTGAGAGATTACAATCGCATTAAATTCATAGTTTGGTGGCCAATGTATTAATTTATGCACAAACAAAAACAATAAAAATTACTTTTATTTTATCTTGTTTTGATGGTAGAAAAAAGTTTAATAACAAAGTAGTTTTGATTGTTTTTTTTTGCTAGAACATTAAGTAATTAGTTGAAATCCAAATAGTGATTTTAATAGTTAATGTAGTCTTCTTTTACTTAGACTTCATAGTTGAACTATGATGACAAGATTTTAAAAAAATTGGATGCAGTAGTTTTCAAATCCTCGAAACTATTTATGCTCAATAGTATTTTAAAGAGACGAAAATAAGAGGTCGTTGAATTTTCTACGCAATCACTCTTGAAAAAGTTAAAAGTATGACAAAAATTGAAAAAAAAAGCGTTTTTCAGTTGAATTTTTGTGATGCTTTTAACATTTTTCAGAGTCAGCCGTAGAAAATATGACGACTCCTCATTTTGTTCTCTTTAAAATGGCATTGTTAACAAAAATAACTTATAAGATCTGAAACCTACCATGACCAGTTTCTTACAAACCTAACCATCACAGTTCATCTATGAAGTCTTACTAAGAAAAATATTGTTTCGAATTTCTATTAGAAATTTAGAATAAAATTTCAAAATAAAATACCTTTTGATTTTCTTCAGATACAATGGAACTTTTAGTACCATTTCTTAATCGTGATAATGTATCACATCATATCTCAATATCTATGTCAAATATTCTTACTTACCAAAATGAATCAAGTAAACAAGAAAAAGAAATTGAAGAACTTAGTCGACTTCTAGATGCTTTACCAACTAATATAAATCTTGATTCAATATCAATTGCTAGTCAACTTTTTGATTATTTATTACAAAATTTACCAACAATTCATCAATATCGTTTATTATCTTCATGTTTGAATTTCATGAAAATAGAAGATCGTCTTCAACGTATAAAAACTATTCTTCTATTAATTCTTGATAATGAACAAACAGTTCAATTACGTGAACTTCTATGCAAATTACTCAATAGTATTGAATATTCTACTTCTTTATCATTAGATTTTGATTGGACACATTTAGAAACTGCAATGCATTATCAACATGATCCTAAATTTCTTACTTATATTTGGCGTTTTTTTTCTAAAAATCATCAAACAAATCTAGAACAAATTCTTGTACGCACATTACCAATAATAAAAACAAATGATGAATTATTTCTTTTTTTATTAATTGATTTACGTTCAACAAACGTCTTTGTTTTAATGCCATCATTTTGGTATTTAATACAACGTTCATTAGGTGATAGTACATCAAATAATGATCGTATACGTAAATGTGCTATATATTTATTTCAACAAATATTAACTAATGATGAATATAAACATATTGAGATCAAAGAAGAAAAATTTAATCGATTATTAATTTTAATTAATGAGAAAACAAAACAATTTTGGATTGATTTTATTGTTCTTTATGAAGCACTTGAAGATGGTGTTGTTCATTTGATTAAACCGTTGTTGACAAAATTTGATCGACTTTTAAATTTTTCTCTTGAATATGGTACTCTTTTGTGCTTTTTTTGTGTGTATATTTAAATTAAATGTGGTTTTTCTTTTAGGATTATCATTAACATGGTTATTTATTTTGTTACAACGTTTATTTGCAAATACAAGTTCTCCACTTGCTCGTTGGACGGTTCGATGGTTTTTTAATTCAATGAAGTTACCTGATAACCAAGTAGAAAATGTAAGTTGACACATAGACAACTTTCTTTCGGATAAAAAATGTGAAAAGATAATGACAGCGCCATCATTCTAATTAAAAATATCCAATCTCGTTTGTTAGATATCAGGCAGTATCAAAATGATTATCGTCATGCAAAAAAAAAGGATGTTGTTTGACACTTATCATGATATCTCATGAAGAAAAGTGCATTAGACATGTCTTCCGATCTTATTTATACTAATGAATATTTTACTTGCCATAGGCTCTAACAAAAAACTATGTTGAGAAGGCAAATGAAGGTTGCTGTCGGCTTCCATGTTTATTAACATTTGTGTTTAGTAGATAACTTTGAATTCGCTCGACAAGTCATATATAAAATTCCTTATCCTATGAAACTCTTTGACCATGTCATAGGTGAGCCATTAATAATGACTTGCATAGGATTTTTTACTATAATTTTTTTTCTTTCCTGTGTGTCGACTTGATTCTTTTCCCAAACGAGGCAGTATTACATTCCGTTGAAAAAGTGTATCGAACTGTTTTCTGTAGAAAGATAAGAGGAAAAATTTAATCGAAGAATATTCAACATGTTTAAACGGATAGATTTTCTATGCTATTTTATTTTATAAATTGGAGACATTTTTGAGTAATCTACAGGGCACTTTTTCTCTTGGTTTGCATCAACTAAGTTGAAAACAAAACTTTGGATGAAACTTAGCTTTCAAATGAATTATCTTCTATTACAATAAAGAAAATTCGAACTCAGACGATAAATGGTGGAATAAGTCGTCGCAGACCATATTATTTTAAAAATACCGTGAAGGAGCATCGAAGGTGGATGAATTTAGCATGTGCGTAGGTGTTGACACACAACAGTTCCTCAGCCAAAGCAACATCCACACCCGTTGTCATATTTTATTTTCTGAAGGCTCTGAAATTTAAGGCTCAAACAGCTGAATTTTTAAAAGCCTACAACATTAAGAAAATCAATGTAAATCTCATGAAGTGATTTAGTATTTATTCACTTCATACTGGTTGGTAGCATTTTTTAATAGCTAGAAAGTGCTTCTATTCGATTCTTTTTCTATCATTCTAACTAATAAGTAATATGAAAAGAACAGTTTTTTCAGAGTAGGAAGTAGATCGGTTTATATAAATTGAGTATTCTGGGACTAATTTTTGTTTGCGCTCATTGTATATCTCGAAAACATTTTGATGCATTACATCCCAGAGCATAAGTCTTCCTTGTTTTTTTTTCTATTCTTTTCGTATAGAATCCCTTTAGTTTCAAATGAATGCTCGTTACAAAGATGGCTTAAGTGCTTTGTCATAGTGTAGTGTCTAATTCATGACGATTTACTCCAATGAAGAACATGCGTCTTTCAATACAATTGAACAATACTACATATAAATTGGTTGACAGAATGCTTCATCAGTGGATTAACCATTTGTTTTTGTATCCGCTAGTTGTTTTATTGATTTAGATCAGTAAATTATCTTCGTCGCTAACTCGAAGCTTTCCTGAGAATGTGAATTAGTCTATTATACAAATACAGATAAAGTAAAAATAGTAAAACATTGAGAAAATATCAGAACAAAAGGAGATAATCCAGCCATGAAGTGTGCTATCAACCGACTCATGCACGGTGTTGGTGAATTGTATTGAATGACGTACATTCTTCATTGCAGCAGGTCATAGCCAATCATACACTAAATTAAAATACAGTATTTAAGCCATTTTGGTAATCAATATTCATTTGAGAGCAATGAAGGGTGATACAAAAAGACTTCTGCCCATAGATGTAAATGAAATGAGTAATTTGAATCAATTCATCGAAAAGGATGATGATAGTTCTTGTTAATATGTCCTTATTTATTTGTTTAGTTCTTTTTCGAAACTGTTCTCGATTGGTCATCAAATAATTTTGTTTTTCTCAAGTAAGATTGTATAATTTTTCATTGTATTTCTTTTTTTTTCCTATGCAATTTTATTTATAATCAGAGGTGAAGAGATTAACGATTCTCAACAGCCAATGGAACAATTTTTAGAATCTTATCTTGAACGATGGCTTAATCATGTTGAAAATCCAAGTAAAAAAAAAATTTTTTTGAAATTCTAATTCAATTGCTATTTAAATAATTAGGTTCATGTTTATTAACACTTCTATCACGTATACAAACTATTAAATGGTCACATATATCACTTGTACGTATTTTATATTCATTAAGAACATATGCTTTGAATCATCAAAATCAATCTTTATTAAATGATGAACATATTAAAATATTTGCATCATTAATATTAACACAGTTTCATACATATGCACCAGCTCTTCGTTTATCTGCTTATTCATCTATACTTGATATTGTTATTTATCTTCTTGATTGGTCAATATCATCAAAATCATTAAGTCTTTTACGATTTTTTGCTTTATTTGATCGATCAACATTTTTATCAAAACATTTTCAAATAATATTAAATCATTTTGTATTTGATATTCGACAATTACAAACATTTATTGAAGAATTTGTTTCATCCGAGGATTTAAATACATCTTTAGATACTCGATTATTTTCACTTGATAATAATTTATTAGAATATCGTCAAATAGCATTTTTACTTGATCTTATTGATATACACAATACAGATATATTAAAAACAATATTTAATCCATTAATTGAAAATATTCGAACAGCATATCAACGTCCATATATGTCAATAAATAATGTTCGAAAATCTATTGAACTTTTTTCGGGTTTAATACAAGAAAATTATTTTCGTTCATCAAATTTTGTTAAAGATTGGTTTTCATCAAGTATTCGATTAATCGTACGAGAAGGTTTAAATTTTATTAAAATACATTCGGTACGAAAGCACTATCATTTCTAATATTTGTGTATATTTATTTGTAATCCTATAGATCAAACAACCTATGGTTTTTATTAAATTACCAATCGTTTTCTTAATGATTGGTAACCATGGAGATATTAGTCGATTTTTACAAGAATTAATTACCCAAATGGAAACAATTATACAACAACAGGTAGATATGCATGCTTGTTTTATTGGATTGACATTGACTGTTCAATAGAGGCCGGCGCGTTCAAATTTTTTGGACTTAGACCAGACGAAGTCTGGATCCAGGACCAACTCGACGGGCTCTATTATTCAACTAAAAAAATTTGCTTTATTTTCATGTTATTTATCTTCTAAATATTAACATATTGGGGGAAAACATTCTGCGACTAGAATAACAAAAATCTACTTTCTATTCGAATAGTTTTTGAATAAAACTTTTTTGATTTTTCTAATTTCGTTGGTTCTACATGTTTTCTATAGTCAAACACACAAATACGTTTATTAAGCTAAAAAATGTCTATACATGGATATTAGTGAGAGATGAATGTTCAAGACTTGATGATATAGAAAATAGACATGCTTCAATTTTATTCTGCTAGAGAATGATATACAGTCTAGAAATACAATAATGTAACCTTTTTGTTAAGTTGAGAGAAATCTGAAACATCTCACGGGTTCGATTGATATTATGCCAAAGTCTATGAGACTTCGAAAACATGTACTAGTATCAGATGAGTACGATATACATTCTCGAAACATTCATAAGATCTGAAATATCTATTTCATAAATATGAGAACCCTTCATTTGGTAGTAAAAAGTTTACTTTATACCTTCTATGAAATAAATCTTTTTGCGTTTATGAACTACGCATAAGCATCTAAGATGACGTTGCCTAGCAGAGCATTAGAGCTCCTCTGATATGTTCCGGGCCCAAATCCCAAACTTTTAAACCTGATGAGATCTATAGACCCTATAGAAGATTTCCTCAACTAGTCCAAGGCTCAATAGTCATTCAAACCAAAGTATCGTGACAAATGCGATTTAACGTATCTTTATTGAGATTCCTTAAAGCATTGATGACAGATGAAGTATCTAGTGTAATAAACGCATCACTCAAATTTTTCTAATAATATAGAAATGAAAAAGTATAAATGTCAACTTTTCGTTCGTCGATAGCTATCAAAGTTCTCAAACAATTTGAAAACTCTAATTTATCGAATCTTCAACAGATTTGTGTTTGTAAGAAAATCAAATCAAAGCTACAACATAAGAAAAAAATTGATCGCACTAACAGCACGCCTTCAAAATTAGAAGTCTAGTATGCTAATATTCTGCAGTGGGAGGTGAGGGTGTATTGAGATATGCTTCGGACGAATAGAGGACAATTTAATAAAAATACTTTTATCTCTGTTTACTGAAAGTTTGGTTGTCATGTAAGCATATTCTTCTTATCAATGCAGACATAATTTTATATAAAAGTATTAAAATATAAATTGAGTAAAGAAGAAAAAAGACAACTACGATGATCGTTTATTTATAGTATGTTGAAAACAAGCCATTAGGAAGTAAAATTATCTGATTACACTTTAAATTGTTTGAAAATAAATTTTCAAATTCTTTTTTTTTTAGGCAGGAAATAATTGGCAATGTCTCTTCGTAGTATTTATTCATTCTATGGATTGGCTTTTAACAAATCGATTATCAGATTTTAACAATGAATGGAATACTAAGCTGCGTACAGTTCCACTATTTTCTCAAATTTTACCATTACTCGATCAGCCCAATATCAAGTAAAAATAAAAATCGATTTTTCTATTTCAAACTTTGTTTTTCTTTTTCTTATAATAGCATTCCACAAGCCGATATGTTAATTGCTAAATATTTATTTATCGCTAATAATATACCACCAATTGATTTATATAACAATATCATAGATGATTTATTCAAAGCATCTCCAAGAGAACTACCCTATGTCTTTCGTGCTATCGCTGTATTACTTCGTCAAACAGAAGTAAATGAAAATTTTTGTTTATTTAACATCAATATTCAACTTTTTTTTCATAGATAACAAATGAAAATAAATGTAAACTAATCGAAAATTCAATGAATGTACTTGATGAAATTGATCATCGAATGCCAGTATATTGGCCATGTTTAACAACATTTTGTCAAGCTATATCATCTTCTGTTACAGATATAAATGTATCTAATCTCTTAACTGAAGTACGTAAATCATATAGAAATTCTTTGAAAATTTCGAAAAATCATCTATTTCTTGAATATAGTGGTTTACACAAATGCTTGAAAAATGTGGACATATTTCAGGAATTATGAATGTCATACTTGAATCAATAATTCCAATATGGTTACATGAACATCGAATTCAATCATCTCATTTACCAATCATAGTTGAATGTATTATCTTCGGACAAATTCATCAAAAAGATAAAAAGTAAAATAGAAAAAAAGAAATGAAATCCATAGCAAAAAGCAATGTCTTATTCATAATTCGCTTATCGACCATCAACATGCATAAAAAGTGGCTACGTACTAACTTATACGTTACTACGGACAGTCTCCTTTCTTTTGTTTGCTTTGTTGGCATATGTTATCAAAGAGATTGAAAAAGAGAGACAGATATATGAAAGAAAAGAGATTGTCCTTAGCAACACATGAACTAATCTATGTAGTCAACAAGCGAATTGTGAATAAGACTCATTGTTATTTTTGAGAGCCGGAACAATTAGTACGGAAACTTAAGTACGGCTACTTAAGCACGGAAGTGATGAGCACGAGAACGATAAGCATGCACGGAAAAAATGAAGGTAAGGGGTGTGTCTGGATGGAACAGAAAAGAAGACTAGACATACACTCAAGCCATTTGGGTCATTTTTGCTTACACGAAGAACACTGTCCTTATCTAATGAACTACGTAGCATAAAATTTTTGCGACAGTAATAAATTGAAGTAAGAAAATGTTGCTAGCGAATATCAGAGTAGGAATTTCAAAAACATTGTTAGACTATGTGCTAGAGGCAATGAAAAAAAAAACAATGGATCATTTTGCCTTTGACTGTCAGAGGCAGACATCTTGCTACATATGTGATGCAACAATTTATTGATATAGTTTATAGTCAAGACAATAAATTTGAAATATTGAAATTTTCCTATTGGATCTTGTTGCAAGTTTAATGAAGAGTAACATTCACACCCGTATACATTCATCGATTGTTCGATAGAAATCACATTTGTCTTCATATTTTTGCATTTCTAATTGTTCGTTACTGAACGTTCTCATGCTTATTATTCTCGTTCTCATCCTTTCCATGCTAATCGTTTCCGTGATTATCTTTCATCAATCCGTTATTTTTACTCTTTTAGACAACAATGGCAAGCAGAACAAATTGTTGAACAAGATGAATCGTTTCGTTTACTTCTTTCTAATACACATATAATACCGTAAGTTGCTGAAACAATTATCATATTTTCTTTTAGTTAATTCTTCTAGTGAATATCGTTATGATCGAAATATTCGTGTATTAATACAATTATTTGTTTTACATATTTGGCCATCATTACTTAATGTTCAACAAAATGATATTGTTATGCAAATAATTGCAAAACATCGTCATTTAGCATTAAAAGAACGTCGACCACGTTTTTGTACGAATTCACTTGAACATCGTATTATGTTTCGTTCACTTCAATGTCTTCTTTGTTTAACATCTGTTATAAAAAACTCGGTAAAAAAATGGAGACAATAAAATTCATTGTTAAACGTATTTTATTTTGTTTTCTAGAGCCTTTTAAAAACAATCTACGATTATATAGTAGAAACATTAATTAAAGAAAATGAACCATCACTTCGTTTACTGTCAGAATGGATTATTGTTCGTTTAATATCAGAAGATAGAAAAACACGTTTAAATGATTTATATGAATATTTACATCATGCTCATCAACAGAGAACAGGAACTGTATGTGCTTGGCTTTCAATAGCATCACATATACCAAATCTTTTATTAAATCAAATTGAACAGGTTCAAAATTAAATTATTATTCTTGTTTTTTTTTTCATGAAACTCAATTCTTTACTTAGATAGAATATATAAATAAAATTTTCGAATATATTAGTCCATTAATAATACATTCAAATTTTCATATTCGAACATTTGCTTGTACAACAATGATTAAATTACTTGAATATATTGAACGTCATCATCTTGAAAATGAAATACCATATGAAGCATACCGATATTTTAAACGAAACGATGAAAAATCTGAGTAATGTTTTTTTTTTGTTTTTAATTTTCTTTACTTTTTTTTTCTATTTTATTATTTATAGACTTGGCCGATATATAATGAAACTTCAAAGTTTATTTCTTTATCAATTTGATCCAATACGAGATTTTTCACTTGAAACAATTTTTTATACATTACCAAAATTATCTTTAATAGCTGATGATGAATATCTATGGCCCGAACGGTTTATTGAAATAAGTCAACAGTTACATTTCACATTTCCAATATCAGTTTATAATGTTTCAACAATTTTACAATCATGTCAAGCTGGAATATGGAGATTAACTGGTAACTATAGAATCAAATTTTTTGTCACTCTTTCTGAATATGTGCTCAAAATTTCCTTCTGAAATAAGATTTGACAATTATCATCAAATTCTTTCAAAATAGTGGTCATACAGAATACTATGTTAGTCAATTTTACGTATATTTCCATCAAAACTTATCAAATTCAAAATGTGAAACAATCTTGAAAATATCAGTTTTGTAGAACAAACTTTGCTTTTCAAAGCGTACTATTTTCTTTTGCATAATAGATTTTAAAATCTTTGTATTTTTACGAGCAGTTTTTCCATCAATATCGATTTTTATAGAAAATTAGCACGTTAGCGGAAAGGCAACGATGAGATTTTGTTTATTGTAATATCTCATCTTGTACAGACTTCAGTAACGTTGAGTTGAAGCTATTCCAAGATAAAAACTAAGAACTGCTCTAAATCTGCTATTTTGCTCTGTACAAACATAATTCACAAACCTTATTGATACTTGTTCAATTTATCGCGGAATTGAAAAAATAAGCCAATATTTTGTGCTAAGACTTTCACGCTATAGGTTAAATGTTAAGATAATGCTTCTTTGTCTTTTTAACTATTTAGCTTCTGGAAAAACTGATATAGGAGGGATACAAGATGAAGAAGGATCTTCAACGATTCAACATAAAGCAAATCCATATCCCATCGTTGAAGCACTTGATGATACTGAATTAAGAGGAAGTATTAAACGAAGTCAATTGATTGTTGTGGCATCACTTATTGATAAACAAGCAAATTTAGGTGGTAAGTCTAAAAACTGATTATTTGTTAACATATTTCAAAAGATGAAAACAAAAGGTAAGGATATACACAAATATTCATCCATATATTTATGAGAGATCATGCTATACCTACAACAAAGAGATAGTACAATTTGTGAAATCAATTTACATATTCTTGAGAAAATAGCTCTTAGCGCAATTCGTACGGGATCAAAATATGAAACATGATATAGTTGCTGTTGCTAATCACAGAAAGATTGTTTTATTTTATCTATTATCAGGCACATTTCTACATCTTCCTTTTATTTAGTCTTCCATAGACGCTATCAGGAAGTAGCTCATATAGTATTATGAGATATTATTGATAGAAGGTCTGTGGTCGTATATCAACAACATTTGTCACGACTTGTGATAAAGAAAAGTTGTTTAGATGTCTATCACGTCTGTGAGGAGGGAAGGTCGTGTTTCATAAAAAAAAAAATAAGGTAATGATTAGATCATATATAATTATCTGGATAACATTAAATATTTATATCATATTCGATACATGATGTTTCAGAAGTCTTTGTTTTAAAGATTGATGTTTTAAAAAAAGTATTTATATAGAATGGGTAAAGAGCAATCTTAATTAACCAAGCTAGTAATATATAAAAATTAATTGATATAGACCCAAGAAGAATGAATAAATATTTTAATCTTGTTTCATTCATTAATCTTATTAATAATAGAAAATGCAAGACAAAATCCATGTTGATATTAGTTTTCATTAACCTTTCGACTGATGAATAACACTTGAACTTTGTTATTTATTTTCTTGTTCACTATCTTGATACATCTGATAGTCACTATCTTTTCACTATCATTCATTGATTTTAAACCTTGTTGATAACATTCTTTGCAATCAGACTATTTTCTCTATCGTGCGTGACTCCATGACTAAACTACGAAAGTATTTATGAAGGAGTAAATTTTTCAATTTTAATTTATCTGTAACTAATTTTCAATATTCTATTTTAAAATCTTTATTAATATAGGTTTGTGTCGAACTGGTGAAATCTTCGGAATAAAAGAACTAGTAATTGACAGCATTCGTATATTGGAAGATCAACAATTTCTTAATTTAAGTATGACTGCTCATAAATGGTTACGTATTAAACAAGTAAGAACCTTCGTACCTTTACTTATATTAATTTAATTTAATTATAAATATAGGTACAAGAAAGAGAATTAAAGGATTATTTAATTGATATGCAAGTTCAAGGATATACGATTATTGCTGTTGAACAAACAGTGAATAGTCAAAGTTTATATGAATTTGAATTTCCAGAGAAAACATTACTTTTACTCGGGTATCAAGCAATAAAAATAATAATTCTCAATCTATATTAATTAATTTCTTTGTTTGATTTCTAGAAATGAACGGGAAGGTATTCGAGCTGATCTCTTATCTTTAGTAAATGCAACAGTTGAAATTCCACAAGCCGGTGTTATACGTTCGTTGAATGTTCATGTTAGTGGTGCTCTCTGCATATCGGAATATACAAGAAAGTATATGAATATGATGAAATGAAACAAAAAAAAAAGATATTTTGTTTTTAGTTGTTACTTTGCTTTCCATTATTAAAAAAAGCAAATTGTGATGTATCACGTTTGTTATATTTTAGATAAATATAAATCTATTGATTTAAAAGAAAAAACTGTTGTACTTCTTATGGAAATCATATTAAGTTTGTTCAACTTCTTCTTGTTATTGTTCTTGATATTCAATTAACAATACTTTCGAACGTCATATAAGATTCGTTGAATATAATTCATGTATTTATATATTCATCTATGAAGAAAAAACTTCTCTTGCTATATTTCATTATCGAATATTTCTTTTTAACTTATGATGAAAAAATTGAATATAAATATAATTTATAATTTATAATTTTTTAGATAATGAGTATTTATAATGAATTTAAATCGATGTTTATTGTTGTCGGTTTTCATGGTTATGTTTTCTTAATTAGTGGACTTATTATTAATTTTTTACAATTATGTTCATGCATTATATGGCCATTTAATAAAGAACTTTATAGAAAAGTTAATTGTTATTTAGCATTGGGTATATGGAGTCGTAAGTATTAGAATTTTGTTATTTTTGTTATCAAAAGTTATATGAAAAGAAATTTACTGTTAAAGAACTACTATGAAAGTTTTTAAAAATCTTCTCTGTTGAGTTCGTTAGAATTTTTATATTTAAAAGAAGTGATTATTTTTGAATAAGTACGCAATATATATTTTATGAAAAAAAAAATTTACTATTTTCTATATAAGATGATAAAATCAAAATGTTAAAATGATGCTGACGAGGGAAACCATCTAGCTGACAACCTTCGTTTGTGCGTATCAGTAGGACTCATTGTGTAAATAACAACCTTGAAAGGCTTTGTGCCATTAGACCTTTCTTCTCCAGTTATAGTCATCTTAATGAGCTTTCAGCCTATTTGAAGTTATTGTGAAAAAAATTGCAACAAGGAGTTTTGGTCTAAATATCTCAATAAATGAGCATGCCCTTTCGATTGAAATCATCAGGATATTCTAAGGGTTACTAGACCTATATATGGTCTGCATTTCAGATGAAAATTCCATTCTTTGATTTTTCAGTAGATACCTAAAAATGAGTCATAGCTCAGCTCTAGAGATTCATGGACCCGAGTCCTTTTAAGCTTTCTCTAGTCTTACCGAAAACTCCTAGTAGGTTCAATATGAATTCAAACGAGGGATTATAATTGAGGTATTTTTCTTGAAAATATATGAGATATAACTACATGTTGTTCAGCAATTGTGAGATTCAAAAGAATAAATAAAGTTCAATCAGTGAAAAAACTTAAAAATTATTTAAAAATATATTTACTAAAGATAACAATTGATGTTGTTGAATTTCCGATTAGTTGTTGATGATTCTTGTTTGCTTATGAAAGTTTTAAAATGTAAGGAGTACTTTTGATATCATCAAATTATTGACATGACACACAATTTTTTATTATTACATGTTGCTCTTTCGAGCTTATGAAATGACATTTGAAATTTTTAATAGGCATCCTCTGACTTTCTTTTGTTTTGAAAATTTCATTGTTTTTTTAATTTATTTCATAGAATTCACTTTCATTGCGCAATGGTGGTCAAAAAGCAATTGTGTTCTGTATATAAAACCTGAAGATCTCGAAAAAGTTCGTAAGGAACATGCTATTGTTATGTAAGTTTATTTTGTCTTTAAATTATCTATATGAAAGATTTAACAAAAAAAAAAAAACAAATTTAGAATGAATCATAAATATGATATTGATTGGCTTGCTGGTTGGATTATTTGTCAACGTTTAGGTATAATAAAGGTAATTTGAAATCAAATTCTTATATTTTTATTGAAACCTATATTAATTAGGGATCAAAAATAGTTGGTAAACAATCACTTAAATTGGTTCCTATCGTTGGTTGGTGTTGGATATTTACTGAATCAATATTTTTACGACGTGTATGGGAAAGTGATCGTGAAACATTAGTTAAAGATTTACGAAAAGTACTTGCTAATTATCCAAAAAATTATTTTTTTAATGTAAAAACAAAATTAATTTTTTTCTTTTATTTTAAATTAGAAATTTGATTTGTTTTTCATTCATATTTAGTTGTTACTTTTCTGTGAAGGTACACGATTTACTGAAAAGAAAAGATTAACAAGTATGAAAATTGCACAAGAAAAAGGTTTACCAGAACTTAAACATCATATTCTTCCACGTACAAAAGGTTTTACTCTATTATTACAAGGAGCAGAAAATCGAAGTAAGTTCTTCATATAATATCGAACCTTCTCAAATATGCGAACAGTTAATTTCTAGTACATATCAATTATAAAATATTAGATTCATTTTATTAATGGTATATCTAGTGATTTCTAACAGTCATACAATTATGAAATTATCTATTCAATCTGAATATTAGTGATCTTCAATGAAATATAATGCTAACTCATGTTGCTTATTTGCTCACATTACCGCCTGAATGCCATCCGTACGCATAAATATCGACAGCATACTAGCAGTAGATTATCGATCGGAGAACAATTAACGGTATAACACCGATTTTTTGCTACTACTACTGGCAGAGCGCACGCTATACCTAACGAACTACAGCGGGTTTTGTTCAGTTTTAATCATATGAGAATATTTAGATAAACTAATACACATTTGTTTGTGCTTGTATACACTTATTCGAATTTCATAGTACAGTAATGCATGTAATCAAAAGAAAATCATATAAGAAATTTATTTTGCTGCACTCTTAAATATATAATAATAATATTGTTACATAATTAACATATCAATTTTTGCAATATGATGCCTTAATAATAATCATATGCCGAACTTTGGGTATTGAACTAGGATAGTTTATCAAACAAAAAAAGAAATTAAAATCTTATTGTAAATTTTACTTCGTTTTTTCTTTTTGTTTAGTTGCAGCTATATATGATTTAACAATTGGTTTTAAAGAAAATGGAGCTAAACCAACGCTTCTTAGTATATTAAAAGGACGTTCATGTCAAGCAGAAATATTTGTCAAGTAATTTTTTTTTTATCTACCACTTAACAATATTTTTATAATTTTTATTAGACGTATTCCAGTTTCGGAAATTCCACAAGATACAGAAGGATGTAATAATTGGGTTCATGAATTATATCAAGAAAAAGATAAAATATACGATTATTTTGTTAATCATGGCACATTCGAAGGAAATGGTTTACCACGAATTGAAATTCAACGTAATTATTATGATCTATTAATTGAACTTGCTTGGATATTAATTATTGGTGTACCATCATTAATATATTTCTTTAAACTTCTTTGGATAAGTTCTTTATTAATACAATTGATTTTTGTTGCTTTGATTTGTATTGGTAAATAATAAATATTTTGAAATATAACGAATAATAGAATTTCTTGTACGATCTTCTTTTAGCAACAATTGGTGTTCGAGCAATGATAGCAGTTACAGAAACTAAACGTGGTTCAGATTATGGTGAAACACATAAAGAAGAATAAATTTACAACAAACAAAATATTTTATTTTATTCGTATTCATTATGATTGATATGTGATATTTCATGTAAAACAAATGGTAGCTGGCTACCTACCACAAAACAATAACCACCGACCTTGTTCATTTTGTTTCTTTTTGAAAATTTATTGTGAATGTTTTTTTTTTTTTGCATTTTATTTATTCGAGCTTAATGAAAACAGCATCTATTTCTCATTAGTTTTATTAATATATTAAAATCGTGTGCGGTTTTTTTTATCCGTCCGTGCAACTTTAGGTATTGCTTGTCTTCTTCTAGAAAAAAAATTCAAAACCATTGTCATAGACGTATACTTCACGTTAATGGTATTTTTTCTATGAAAATTCAGTTTCCTTTTTTTCATAGTGTTTGATGTGCATTACTTTTACCTGATTTTGTTATTTTTTAACAATAGAATGAGATTACTTGTCCTGTGTGTGCAATAAAATATGATCTGAGTTGAACTTATTTATTTTTTTTAGCCAATAAGATACAAATCACCACGTTATACTGTAAATTTAAAAGATTAGCCATGTTTCAGCCAAAGTATTACTTTCATTGTCAAATTAACAAATGGAAAAATATGAACTGCTTAAAGCAAATTTCGATCGAGATATTTGATTACTAGAATATTCAGTCTAGGTATGAAGATATGATTATACGACAGCTACCTGGCCTTTATTTTTTTATCTAGAATCATCAGATGTTTCAGAAAGTGATTTTCCAGAAGCTAGCTGAAATTTACGGGTCACAATAGGATTGTATTAGATGCAATTCATTCGAAAAGTTTAGTAATATCGAGATGAAAAACAGGCAGGTTTTGTGTCTGAAAAATGTCAGATACATTAGATGCTTCATGATTACGTGTATTGATGCAGGACTTTGTGATTGGTTAGTATTTTCTTCGCACTAGGTACAAAAACTATGTTTACTATAATCATTTGATTGAAGATTAAAAAAACTTCAATTGAAATAAAAATTGAAAGCATTGATATCTTCTAGATCGTGATAATTACTGAAAAGAAACAATCAGAGAGCTTGAAATATACCAAAGCAAAAGGTTTTTTTTCTACTTTCATGTTTTTGTTAGTATCAATTATTTATAATTTTCAGCTCGACATTACGAAACATAGTTCTTCTCCAAAAATTTTTACATAATTCAAGAAATGTATTTGTAAAATTCAACGTTATAATCAATGAGTTTATTAATAATCAATAATTACTATTTTATTTTGATAAAGATTAATAGTTACATATTCGAAATTATTTTGATAATTGAATTTAATTCTTTTGGTTTAGTTCGTACATGATTCCTCAAAATAACATTTGTCTTGATTATTTTTAATTGCTTATTTAAGTTCAGAACGAATGATTAACACATTTCGTATGAAAATCGATGTACAACTTGAATAGCAAACAACTCAATAATGAGAAAAAAAAACAATTTGTATTCACATGTCAGTGGCATATGTTAACAATGTCTTTTTTGTTTTATTCTTCTTCCATATGTAACGAACATGATCTATCGATCATATTGTGAGCTTTGATTTATATTATACAAAAAAAAACAACGAACAAGTTTTTTACTACCTACACTTATGATTTTTTCATAATAGAGTTCAAATTTTTATAAAGACAAGAATGAATTGATTTTCAAGCTTTTTTTTACTCTTTATATTATGTCATCAGAGGCTATATTGTGATTGCGAACAAAAATTAAACCAATTAACACAACAGTGTTTGCAATTTGGAATACAGAAATCTACCTTAATCTCTTTTTTAATGCATTTCCAAATTGTGAACACTTTTTAGTTATCAAGCCATCAATAGTTTTAATCAATAACAATATATATTGACAAAACAATCTTCTTCATAAAATTTTGTTACAAAATAATTAACATGGATTGATATTCGGTGTTTCAATACGAAAAATACAGTTTAAAAGTGCCCATGTTTTATCTAGTTTTTCTTTTCCGAGGAGTACTTTAAAACTTCAGAAAGACTAACCCGATTTTCGGACGAGCATCTTCTCCTCGACTTTCACGCTAGATGCAGCACTAAATTAATGAATCGTTCTAATTTTCAAGTCTTAATTGATATAACTAATTCTATTTTTATTCTATAGTTCTTTCCATATATACAAGTTTACCATTGAAAATCAATTTTAATAGGATAGAGAGTTAGTTTGATATAAGCTTGAATTATTAATGGAACTTAAATATAGCGATAGTGCCAACCAATTGAAAAAAAAACAATTCGACTAATTTTCATTCTTCAAAGTTTAATATCAATCCTCATTGTAATAGCATTCAGAAATCAATTACTAAGTTTTACCACAAAACAAAAATATAAGAATCTGTACAAATAATGAAAACCAATGGTTTTTTGATATAAATATTCTGTTGCATTCTATAGTGATTTGAACGTCATATCGAATAACATATAACGAACAATATTCTTTCACATCGCTTGACACTTAAGAAATATAAAAATTATTCCTGACTTTTCTTCTGCTTGTACGTTACGCATGAATGTTATGTGTCAAAATGTGTTTATAAATATTCTTTAAACGCAACATCGTTCTACTATCCCGATTTTCTGAATTGAAAATAAATGATTAAGTTTTCTTTTTTTTTTGAAGAATGTCACTATCGATATTTTACGATTATTGTTAATGGTGTTTTATGATCATGAGTGTTCGTTTATTCAGACAACACATGTCAGAGGCGTTCCGTCTGTTTCCTCCTTCTTTTTTTTTTTTTGATGACAACATACAACATGTCATTGAGACAGAATATGATCTACTAGTGAGCTGATGTAATCGTTTTTTTTTCTGTCTGGCTCAATTAGAAGTAGGTGTATCTGATGATAGATTATTGAGCAGAAAAGAAAATTGATATTCATTTAGTTCAATACCAGACATTTTTTTTCCTTGGGATGTCATTGAGCAGAAGTAAACTTTTCTTTTTTTTTTGTTTTTTGTTTATCATATTGTTAAAAGTCAACTTGTGCTGTACGAAATTAATCTGTCAATTGCTCTATAAAAACTATGTAATACCACTTGAAAAAGTTTATTTAACAAATAGCATTATACCTGTTAATATGAGCTATCAATGAAGTACACTCTTAAGTGTTTGGTTAAGAAATCATATATATATATATGTATGTATGTATAAGGTAATTACAAGCTTTTTTCTCAAAAATAAATCTAGATGACTTGTATCTAAATTTTCAAGTTTGTTAATTCTGCTCTTCGCAATTTTTTCGAAGAATTTTTCAGTGTAAAATCAAATTAATCACGTTTCTGTCTATTGTTATAAAATGAGATGAGCCTACTTTTAAAATTAATATACCACATCGAAACAATTACCAAACGTAAACCATAAGAAGTGTAATGAAATTCAGAATACGCTCTTTAATATTCAATGCAAGTAACAGAGGCATAGTTGAGAACTGGAGACAGAAGAAAGAGTTTTGGATGGATAATTTTTAAAAGCAGCGAGCGTTTGTGTGGACGAATTTCATAAGTAAGAAGGATTATCGCGTTCTTCATAAGCTACGCTCCTGAAATATCCACACTAAAGCAATATTTTCTTATTGTATTTTTCCTTCTAAAAAGCCGTGTTAAATCTAAGTTTTTTTTTAAGAGAAACGATCATAACTCGTCCCTAAATCCACCATTGATAAAAAAAAACATTACTACACGTATTTTCAAATCTTAAGTTTATAAATTAATTTATAAGAGTGCTACGTAGTTTCTTTAAAAAAGAAAAAGAAAAATTCATCATATGAGTTAATAAAAAAAACAATTTATGATCAAATATAATCATTTCTTTGAAATCTATTCACTTTTTCTTTTCTTCATTTGATTGACGAATCATTCATCATTAGAATTCATTTTTATTTTTTCACCAATTGGTCTACATCGAAAAGAGAAGAGAGAACGAAGAATATCGATTGGCTCTATGGTGATTTATATGTATCATAATCAATAGTGCTCATCTATTCTATGTATAAAAAGCAAAGCAGAACTGATCAACATCATAAGAATAAACAACAGCGAACTAATCGCAAAACATCATCTCAGGTTTGTTAGAATAATATTGTTCAAAACCGCTCAATCATCATGTTCGATTAGAATACTTGAAAAAAAATAGAAGTGGATATTACATATATGTCTATATTTAAATTGGTTAATGGGCTATCTACTTAAAATTATACAGATATATACATATATATATATTGGGACAATTTTTTCGATCATTCATTACAAATCTTATGTCATTCATTTTGTTGTACATATGTGAAATACACGTGTCAATGCAATACTATCTCTTATTTTTAGATCTCCAGAAAATTAATTCTGAATATAAAATCTTGTTCTTTTTTTGTATTATTTAGAACTCAATGATGGGAAAATATTCTTTAACAAAAAGACGTCATTCTCATCAATCGAAAATTTTTCATACTGAACAAGAAACAACATTGATATTAAATAAAATTGAACATGCAAATACTACAATTCGTTTAAAAAATCGAACAAATACATCATTTCGACCACTTGCCGCTTCTACACCATACGATATTGAACAATCAAATCCATTCAATGATGGCTCCCCACGTAAGTTCATCACATTTGATTGACATATGTTACACTTCAAAACTAAAATTATTGTCATAGTTCACTCATAGGTTTTTTTTTATTTTTGTTTTTAGATTCTATCATGAAACATCAACGATTATTATTAACACCACCTATTTATTGTAGTACACCAAAACAAATTCGTCGTCCAATTCCTAATAATAACAGTCATAGACGATCAACATCATCATTCAAACAAAAATGTTTTCTTGATCAACATCCACCAATACCGATTATATCTCAACGTCGATTACAATTCACACCTAATTCTCAATCAATTGTACAATATTCAAATGATGATATAAGAAGAATAAACATTAAAAATATTAAAATATGGCTATTGTAAATTTAAAAATGAATATGTAAATGTTTTTTCTTTTTTTTTTTTATAAAAATAAATCTGAGTTTTAAATCAATATGTCTATCTCAAAGAAAGAAGATTCATAAGAGCGTATATAATCAAAACACAGTTGGATATCAATATAAATCAAGCGGAAGACAGTGATACGTATTGGCGTCGTTCATTGATTCTTCTTAAGATGACGAGACGGATGGTTGAAGTGGATCTAACTATCTAATAGGGATAAGTATGTCGGTATCATGCCGTTTTTCTTTGTGCAATAAATGATAATAGATTAAATATCAATGAAATTTGTTGTTTTAAATCAGTTAAAAATGAAGATGATTGTTCTTTTCTATTAAGAAATGTTTATATTCTAATTTTTCTTTCTGAAAGTAATTAGTGGAGTGTATACGTAACAGAAAAACTAATTTCCTTTCAATTCTATTGTTATTTGTAATAGATAATATCTTGTTCGTTCATTTCCTTTGTTGCAATACAACTTTTATGTTAACTTATTCTCGATTATGAAATAACAACGATTGAATTATCGAATAGAAATCGATATTCTTTTGTGAATATTTATGTTATATTGTTTTCATGAAACATCTGCATAAGGTTGCATAGATGTAATTAACGAGATAATATGTGAAGAAGTTCATGCCAATGTTCCAAATGATCTATGTAATATACTATCATAGTGAATTAATGTTTACCATTGAGTTTTCATCGAGTATGTACACCTCTGAGAAAATTTTCTCGAATAATTAATCGTTTTTAGAGTCTAGACTATGTGTTTCATGTAAAACTAACTAGCTATGAGCAGCCTGAAGACAGTTTGGCCCCTTAGCTTATTGTTGCTGAGATACTGCATTTTTACCGTAGAAACTTAAAGAAAACGCATTTTTCAATTTTGACTGGAAACTTTATACAGAGATAGATTTTAACGAGAATAGTTTAGTATGAAAATTTCAGGTTTTTACATTTGTGCCTTTCCTGCAATAAGAATATCACATCTGCCGATGTTTATGAACAAGGTAACAGACAAGCTTATTTCATAGTTGTATCTTAGAATAGGAACAACGAAATTGTCCAATATTTTTACAATAAACTATTCTTAATGAAGACAGTCTTCTTGAAAAGTTTTCAATCGCAATTCGAAAATGAGTTTCATTCGTGTTTCTGACTGTACCACAGTATTGACCTAGAAAATACCATAAAAATGCAATTTTTCGGAAGCAATAAGTTCAGAATCTGCAGTTCTCTTAGAATATTTATATCTTATTAGGATTTACGTGATGCACACAGTCTCGGCTCAAAAGAAATTAGTCAATTGGTGAGATTTCCTCGTTATTTATGGCATAAGTTTTAAATACACAAGCTTCTGTATGAACTGAAATTGATTGATGAGAATTATATTAGTTTAATAATAAGCCATTGTGAAATGTGAACACAATTTTGTTTTTGTATCTAACGCGCCGAAATAGTCATCACGTTAGAAATGAATATGAATATAATCAATGTTAGCAATGTTTAGTGCAACTTTATATCAAAATTTATAACAAAAAAGAGAACAATGATTTTACTATCGTTCAAATATCTGACCATTTATGTTGTCATTATTTTAGATTATTGTCTGTATGATCACAATGACCTATTAGAAAAAAAAAAAAAGCAAAATCCACAGATTCAGTCATAATATTAACATATTAACAGACAATCAACATTGCCAGGTACTTATCTCTAAAATATGAAAAAAAATCAGTGTAAGTAAAAAAACTTAAGATTGGTTGTTTTATTACGCACGATTGAATCTCGTATATGACTAATGTGTTCAACATCTTGAAATGCTTGTCGCCATGCTACTCGTTCCTATAAATTATATGAAGATATAATGCAGAATACTTATATTTGATTGAATAAACCTCTTCATTCATACGTTCATAATACTGAATTTCAGCATGATATTTTGGTTTTGTTATACCGAAAAACCAAGCTAATTTTTCACCAGCTAGATTACATACTGAATAAGTTTTCTTTGCAGAAAATTTAATAATATACCACATTCGTGGAAATAATTGCAATTGACTCTAATTAAATAAAATAATGAAAGAGTTACTATTCTTCGATTTAATTAAGAAGCTAAATTCTGAAATATATACATACAGAAATGTTTTCAGTTTTGCCCTTTGTCTAAACGTCTTTAAGTAATTGCTCTCTTACGTAAGGTGTTTAAAAGGCTCTCGAATTAAGTGTATTCAAAACCAAAACAAAAGCATTACTGTATTAAGATTGGTTTATATCCACAGATATCATATGCTCTGTTATATTAAACATATAATCTTGTATCATTGGTAAAAAATTGAAAATCTAAACAACGTTTCGTTTTTTCGAAGAATTCAATAGTCATTGAATATGTATTTATGTAGAGTAACAATTTAAAGGAAAAAAACTATTTGTTAATTGTATTTCTAGATATAAACAACATGTTCTTGAATTAATATTAGCAATTATGACATTCACTGACCATGTTAGAATACTATACAATGTAGATCTGGAATGGATGTAGTGTCTCCTAATTACTTATCATTTTACTATACATTTGAAATGGTGATTTTATTCGAAAGCTCTATTAAACATTGTTCCAAGTATTAGATGAAGTGTAGATTTCCAAAACACAGAATTTTATCATTGAGTAATGCTCGAATTTTCTAACAATGTATAGCGAATGATGTAAAATCTATTGTTACATTTCCATACGGATGTCCGATGTAGTTGAATTTAGGAAACCTATGAATAAAGGATTGCATAGACTATGGGTAGACACCATGACTAATAATACAAGGATTCTTATTGTTTTTTAAAGCAGTCCAAGGACTTTTTGAACATTTCATGTACATTCAAAAGGTAGAGTTTCATCAAAATCCATTTTTGCTATGAACCTATTTGATAAATTAACTCACTATATCAATTCGTTGTTCAACATTACATGGAGTTGGTTCATTCAACTCAATTTCACTATGATCATATTTGTTATTTGATTTTGATAATGGACTATTAACTTTTTGTTTTGGTCTATTATTGTTATTCATAATCTTAAAAACTATAATAAATTATATAATAATCCTTGTTTTTTTTTTTTTACTTTTTTCTTTATTATGAATACAAATAAGTAAAATGAAAACAAAACCACTAGAGTATAAAAAGAATTATTCTCGTGGTTCAAGTACAACAACAACAGCATTAGTAGCTATATCATAATTTGTCTGACGATATTGTGATGTAAATAAAGCAATAATAAGAGCTGGAAAAAGAAACGTTGACATAAGACTTTTAAAAGTTGAACGAGTAAATGCTCTAAAATAAAATAAAATTACAAAAAATATTAAAACAAAAAAAATTTCTTAAGATAATTCTTACGCTCCCATATTAAGAAGAGTACCAGGTTCAATTGTTAAATCACCATTCTCTTGCATTTGTAAATGATCACATTTGAGAACACGTAGACGAAGTAGACGTTTACCTGGTGTAGCACCATAACGTGTAAGACAAAAACTCTTGAGAAAATTATTTATTTATTAAAATGTCGAATAATAAAAAACAAGAACAATGAAATTACTTCAAAAGCAATGCTTGTTATTAAATAACCAAATTCTATACAAATAAGTTCTATTGGAAATGAAAATGTTTCATCATAAAGTAAATTGGAAATCATATATGTTATTGTAAGACGACTTTCGTCGATGATATCGAAATAATTAGCAAGAAAAAACACGATACAAATTCTGTAACAAAAAATAGAACGAAAAATTTTTTATTTCATCAATAGAAAAGAATATTACTTGAATACATGTAAAAGAATGAAATCGATTATTTCAGCAAAAAAACGACGCCATACTGATGCTATTCTTAGATGCGCTAGAAAATAAATACTTTAATTAAAAAAAATTCTCCTTTTTCTTTCGCTTCACAAGCAAAATATTCAAACCGTTTCGAATTTCAGCTAAAGGATCAAATGGTGGTGAACGATTAGTTTCATGGATCATTTCAAGAAAATTAGCACTTGTAAGAACAGGTATTTGTCGAAAAAATTGTTGAGATGAATTCAACATCATCATACTAAAATATAATTTAAACAAAAACACAAAAATATGAAAGTACTTATCAAATCTATTCAAATATACTTGTAATAAGTAACACAACTGATATTCCATGTATAATAAGCTTGTTGCCATCTGGCTACTAATTCAGAATATTCATCGATCGTCATTTGTTTAGGTTTTGTTTCAAATGTATCAGATGATGTATTTTCTACTGAAGTTGTTGAATTACTATTCATCTTTTTCTTTTATATTAATTTGTAAATTGATTAAAGAAAAAAAAGGCCTGACTCTTCTTAAGTGAGCACATAAATGTGAATCTGTTGTCTATTTTTGTAATGGGTTTCTTTTCGTACAATCACAGATGAATAACAAGGACATCTGTTGATCTACAACTGTCGCTAACACCTTATACTCAATAGCACTTAGTTCATACATGTTGTAGATAAATTTAAAATCTACTTGAGATTGGAATAATATTTTGTGAAAAAAAAAAGATTGTTTGTCAACGTTAAAACAAATTAACTTATTTTTTTTTTGATAATATGATTTGATTATTTTCTGTTTTGTAGTTTATTTGATGATGGAGATATGTGTAGATGGTTATTGTAATCAAAAATAGTAATAATTGTTTATTTTTATTTTTTACTTTGTTTCACCATTGCATTGTCTATATGTTTTCGCTGTATTTATTTTCGATAATGAGGATATGACGATATAAAATCATTGATCAGATTGCAATAATTAATAAATATTATTATCTGTATTCAATTGATACGAGCAGGGGTTCAGAAAATTTTTTTAAAAACTCTTATTACTCGCAATTGATTCAATTATTCCGATATAATAATTATTTGTCACACACGTTGGAGAAACACACAGAATATTTATTGAGTTTTATTCTACTTGGTACTATATTTGGAAGAAGTTTATCAATACAAAATTGCATTTTAGCAGTGGAAGATCTAGAATTTAGGAACGAGGAGGGAGTTGCGCTTATAGGTACAAAATTACTTTCTAGGGCTCATGTCAGGTAAGGTAAGCTCGTTTTTTATTCGTTTTTTTTATGGAAAAAAATTTTCTGAAAGAGAGGTAAACCATGCCTTTCACCCCTTTTCTACTCCTCCGAAATCCGCTACCGCACTTCAGCATTGAAAACATCCATTCCATGACAGAAGTTCGTCGTGAAGAAACAGAAAAAAACTGTTTAATAAAAGAACTCGTCATAATTCATGTTCTATCGTTATATGTTTCAAAGCAACGAACATTTACAAATAAGATAAAACCAATTGAAAAGCAATGATGCAGAGATTTAACCTGTAGTTAATACAACTCAATCTCATAAATGCAAAAATTAAAATTTATAAATATTTACAAAATGATACATTAAATGATTATAAATCGGCAACATTCATCCACAACCTATGATTGCAAAATTTGATTACAAAAATTAACTTTAATTAGTGTATAACTCATAAAATCAATATGATGAAGCAATCAGAAAATTGAAATGTACATAATAAGAATCTCTTTGTTCTATTATTAAAATAAAAATAAATATATCAAATGTTTATTTATTCCTTTTGCTATTTATTGTGCTTAATATAACAGTTTTCATGAATTCTTATGCTAGTAAATTGTGTCATATTATTTACCGAATCTTTATTCTTATTATAAGAAAAATTTTGCTTCAAGACTTTTTGTTCAATTCGTTGACGTATTCCAAGCTTCATTGAATTCTCATGTAATGTGTAACATATTTATTGACTTGTCTGTTATTTGTTTATTTTCACCAAAACGTGATATGTGAAATACGTCTTCATTCAAACCTATTTTAATGAAGTACTGTTGGTTAGTGTTTACGCTCACATAAAGCAACGAATATCGTTAAGGACGTGCACGTTTTCTTCTAGTTTTATTTATTGTTGAAAAAACGACTGTTTACATATGAATATGAAGACAAGGCTAAAAGTAGAAAAAAATACGAAGGTTAATCAAGACCACAGAAAATAAGTAATAGAAATGAAATGATAATATCGAACATATCAGACGAACAAAAGAATCATCAACGAAAAAGAAAACAAAGAGAAGCGAGCTAAATACTATAAGAATGCATTATAATACTGTTCAATAGTTAACGTTGAATTGCATAAAATTAATCAAGTATCTGAATCCTTAACGAAAAGAAAATATTGCTGAAGGTTATATGCTGTATTAATCTTTTTGTATATATTATCTTGTTTTCTTTATTTTTAAATACAACAATGCTTCATACTGAATTATTTGATTATGAAACGTTCTAGGCACTTCAAAAGGATGCTATTGAATCATATGAGTAGTGTCAATGAACATTGAGTTATTATATGTCTACACTCACTTAATTATATCGTTGTTCATTTTAGGACCCAATTGATATCTATCTAGTGATAAAACTAAAAAAAGGGAACAATATTACAAATTATTCCTTTACTTATTGTATTAATCAATATATTTGGTCTATTTTTCTTCTAGACAATTCTAAAATCTTGTTAAACATTAATTTACTTGTTGTTTCTGTTATTAGTAGTTTTTAGATTGCTTGTGTTTTTTTTACTAGGTTGTAACTTTTTCTTTGTTTTTTCTTCATTATATGTCATGTGAAGGTGAATTACAATATATCAAACAAACTGCATCGAATGCAAACTTTCTCTAGCCTATCTGGGTTAATAGATAATCAAAGGACGATTTTGAGCTGCCTTCACATACTTTTATCTGACTAAAAATAAACGTATAAGGCTCATGATAACAGGCAATTCTGAAAGAAAAGAAAAGACCGACCACACTATTGGAAAGATAAGCTTTGCAGATCATTAAACACTTATGAATATCCGTTTCAAATAGTATTAGTGGTGGAGCCAGGGAGTGACTGAGGGTTCTGAGCCCCTCCCCAGGAAAATTTTTGAAGGATGCATTTTATTCATGAAGGGAAGCTCAAAGGTGCCCAAAGGGGGTTGAGCCCTCCTCAGCTCCCTCCAGCCCAACATCCTGGCTTCGCCCCTAGATAGTATGCTAGTGATTATAGCTAGGAGAGTATTTATACGATGTTCGATTAGTAGTTATGGTTTATATGAGAAGGCTGCTTTCAATAGCGATGTATTTTGCATTAACAGGGAATATTCTACGCTTCATTTTAGTTGGTTTTTTCGGAGAATCTCTTTCATTTCATATAAGCTGGCTTATTCTATGTATTTCCCTAGTACGCATGGTTTCCTCTAACGATGTATCTTTTAGATGAAGTTCTATCACACATTGCCTTTCTAAGCTTACTAGGATTGTTTTCATAGACAATCATGGATGCTCTAGTACAAGGTTAACATGATCATTGCACGTTTTCTATAAATTTTTGGAAAGAAAGATCTACGAAAAATCCGAAAAACAGTATTAGATAAGAAATAAAGTTTTTTCTTTTGAGGCAGCTCATAGAATTCAACAAGTGAGCACATCTGACCTTTTTCTGATTAATTTCTGCCTCAATTCTGCACACATAACGAACAATACAATTTTCCTCTAGCAGTAAATGTAATTATCTAGTATGACATGTTAACTATAAAGAATTAGACTTTCGTTGATTTCTTTTAAATCATTCTATGCGATACTATTCTTTTGTATGATTTCAGTCACAAGAATGTCGACAATCTTGATACTGGCTGTTTGTTTCATATGGTCGATTAGTGAATCGAACGCAGTTACATGTGACTTGCATCAATGAGAGTGTAATGGTACGCGTTTCAGACCCGGACAACAGACTTGCATCTGTGGTATCGTGTGTGGTAAGAACCAAAGGAACTGCAATGGTGTTTGTTATACACCAAGTCAACAGCGATGCATCAGACACATCGCACGTAGTCGGAAGCAACAGCTTTGCAATAATCGTTGTTTTGTGCCACGTTTTCAGCGTTGCATCGATGGCATCATGTGTGGTTTGAATCAACAAGTTTGTAATGGTTGTGTTG